GGTTAGCTAGAGCACCCTGGGTAACCTACCCTGCTCAGGGATACAGCAGCCGAGAAACCCACTGGGACCCTAGGGTGAAGATTACCAACCCCAATCACAGCTCCTCCATTCCACTTCAGCCATGAGTGTGGCTGGAACCTGGTCCCCCGGTCTGCAGGCTAGTGTGTTGCCCTATTGTGAAAGCCTCGGCAGAATATGTTTCTCTTTTTGTTTGATGACCTACATGACTGTTGCTTTTTTTTTACAGAATGCTGTATACATACAGTAACTTAAACTGATGTCAGAAACATGAGCAGCTTGCAGCCCCAAAAGGCAATAATCCTAAACTAGAATATGCCTAAAGTACCCGCTATGCCAAAGTCACATGGAGCTTTGTTTTCCACCCTTTTGGTCCAACATGATACCAGCTGAGTTTCATTAAGAGACACTTCGGATGTGGACTTCAGTGCTGCCCACAGCTACAGACTCAGTTCTGTGTCACACCTAGGAGAGCACTCCATCTCTCGATTGAGGAAGATAAGCAAGGGTGTGCCATCTGACCTGCATCAGAAGATCAGAGCGAAGGTTAAAAATGAGAGGAGACCATTCGGCCCATTTAGCTTTTTTGGTAGCTTGTAGTGTGTTGGCCTAGGGAACTCAAGAGCAACGTTGGGTATCTCCTGATGCCCTCAACCCTTTGTGTAAAGTACCTCCATCCACCCCCCCTCCCCTTCACACTTCACCCCAGATCCACTGTACTAGTGAAGAACCGCTTGCTGAGCTAAGGAAGGGCAGAGCGTACAAGCCCAGAATGGAATTTAGTACATCAGGGTTAGTGATAATCATAATCAATGATTGATTATTATGATACAATGTTATTTATGAGTGTATTTCAGGAAATGTAGAGCACTGTACAGTAGCACGCATGGTATCCACATAACAGGGGGAGATAGAGAAAGGGAAAAGCACAGCCGACTGACCTAGTTAAACTGAGAGTAAAGCGAAACTCTGCCTTCTAATAATACGATTTCATTTGTGAATTTTTAAAGTGTCGAAGGTTGCAGAGTCTCTGATTTGGGCAGTGAGCTCCATAAAAAGACTCTGTTGCCCATCGTGTGGAAGCTGCTTTTCAGCGCATAGTTAATGGCTAACTCGGCAGATCTCGGATGAAGAGTTGGACTATACTCATGCCATAGGTCCTTTTGATAACCTGGAGCCGGATTAACTATTCGGTGAGTTTAGATGTGAGCAGGAGAGCCTTACAGTCCACTCTGAACTTCACAGGCACCTGGAGCAGTTTGCAGAGAACAGGAGCTCTGTGCTAATCCAAAGTTCTTTTAGTCAGCTCAAGAGCCACAGAATTCTCGTCTGAAACCTGCTCGGTACCTTATAAATTATCCTTAAATAAAGGTACATATCAATATTTGATCAGTTAGGCAAAGCAAGGGTCTTAGCTGGGCAGTGTAACATACTCATATTCATTGCATATAAAAATATTTTTCCCCTGAATGAGCTTTTTAATGAAATTTCACACGATGAGGAGGCAGCAGCACTGGTCTGGATGAGGACATTGACTGGTCACCTAGATCACTTTCAAAAGCCTCTTTCAGGGAAGCTTCTTGTTTCTCACCTTGCTTTTCAAATAAAATGTGTCTCTGCCTGCACTTGTCAACTAGAAACTTCATTTGCCAAGTGTCTCCCCAGTCTTGAATCATCTCTTAAGTAGTTTTGAGCTTTTGCTAGGTTTTTAGATGGGTGAATTAACTACCTGAATCCAGATCCTTGGTTACGATGTGAAAGAATAATGGCCATAGAAGACAATCCAGTGGCACCCCAGTAATCTTACTTACATGCCACTTACTGTTTTGTGCATTTTTCATTCCTCTGCATGTTATGTTGAGCTACTGAATTTAAAAAGTTTTGAGTTTCTGTAAATGGGGGTCACGTGTGCAGGACTGGGTGCAGAATGTAAACAAGGTAACAACAAGAGGGGCTTCAGCTTGTGCTCACTGCACATTTTGGTCCTGGGAGTGTGGAACGAGCTGTCTGGCCAGATGACCCCGGCTTCAGTGATTGAGCCACCCCTGGATTTTGAACACTAGTCATGTCCCATCATTCTGTCTTTTATATTCTTATCCTTCTATATATGCGGTATTATCGGATACGAGGAAGTTGAAGTAGGAAGCCGCATCAGCATGCGTAGACTGTAAAGGAACAAGTGAAGGTTTATTCCATGCTGAAAAGAAAAGAGATGCAACATTTTGGCCGTGGAACCTTCTTCAGGTGTGTGTATTATTGGTATGTAAGATCGGGCTATTGAACCTATTTTTTTATATGACATTTCAATACATTTTCCCAAAAGTGTGCTATGAAGCTCATTGCTACTCATGTAGAACTCATCAGTTACCCCATGCAGCTAAATTTTGCCAAGGTAATATTTTGCATTCAGTATCAGACCAAAAAATACCATTTATTTCTATTTAGTCAGTCCTCTTAAAATAGTTAAGGCCAATTTAAAATTGAATGTTTAACTGTTACCATTGAAACTATTGTTTCAATATACTGTTACCATATTACCACACATATTTTGTATGTTTTTCAACATACTGTTGTTTTTAGGAAATTAAACTGTTTAGCATTGCCAGTATATAGGTGTGCCCTAAAGTCCCTTTAGAATAAGTCTCATAGAAGTGAAAGGTTTTTATTGAAAAGAAAGTTAAATTATTTTTGTTACAGTGATTTTCTTTGAAGTGTCCTACCAAACACATAAAAGGTTATATATAGCCTACTAGGCTAACAATTGTTAGCCTAATACGTTAACAGTGTTTGGTAGGGCTTAATGCTGTTCAGTAAATTGTGACTCACTAACAATGCATGGCATGTTCATAGTCAACTGATGTTTTTAAGAGTAAATTTATTAAATAAACATAAAAAACATTCATAAAGTGGAAGGGAAGAGCAGTCCGATTTTCTGCATTTCCTGTGTACAGTGCTTGGTATTAGTCATCAAAAACCAGAAATGTATAAAGATAGTGATTCATATTTTGCAAAAACATATGTAATATAATATTAGAGTGGTGATGTTGGAGAGTCATTACATTTATAGTTTTTCATTGTCTGCAGCACAACAAAAGAGGGATCTTGCAAACCAGAAGTCACATGATAATTGCAAAGATTATACAGGCGGTTAGGGATGTGTTTCTCCAGAGCACTGTACCTGCCTGCTTTGTGATAGAGCATTCTTCTGCCTAGCTGGATTTATTGAGATAATCGTAAAATAAAAAGACTTCAATTGCAAAACAATTGATGATACTGATGTCAGTTTTAAAAATGGCATTAGAGCTTTAAAGCTGTAGGAAAGTATGAACTAAATACGTGAAATATTTCCTGCCCAATTTGAAATACGCATTGATAAGGCTGTGAATTTCGTTCAAGATCTTTTTTTGTGTGTGTATTTCATATATGAGGGCCTGTTAATGATGTGAAGCGCAGAGGGCCTGCGTTTTCATTACTGAGCTGGAGTGTTCAGATGTGCACTACATTCATCAGATCTTTCAGGTGCCTTTATCAGTAGCTGAGCCATGTAGACATTTACAGTCCCCAGAGGGTTCGTCCTTCCCAGCAGAGCAGCTTCTCGCACTGTTGTTTTGGCTGTTGATGTCATGCTGAATACTGTAACGGGGAGTTACTCATACTGAAAGTCACCACGGCAAAAGGCCATTTTATTTATTTTCATGTTTTCATCAAGCGTTTTTGCAGTGCCCACGATGAGATCACTGGTGGCATTGAAATGATGACATCCTTCTCTGTTTTATTAGTTCTCTGTCTGTGCGGCCCGCTCGCTCGCTCTCGCCGGGTGTGAGCATGAATATTGTGGTTCTGGATTCTGGTTTAATCAGATCCTCTGCCCCCCTCGTGAAGTTTCAAGTTATACGTTCCATCCCTTTAATCAGAATCTTAATGCAGTTTTCGGTCGTACTGCTGTACGGTTCGCCCTGCCATTCGCACTCAGTCATGTGGCCAAATGCACTGAGGCAGCCGACCCAAAGCCACTGCAGGACGAAGCTGTTGGCTGCGAAGGATTTTAACAAAATTCAGCCTGTTAATAAGTGAGTAATGCAGTGCAACTGAAGGCACCAAAACAGTTGTGCTACTGTAAGATAACGGATGAGAATGCTCCAGGCAAGTGATTCACTTTTAATTTAAACATTTCTACACCTGGCTGATGAAATATGCCCCTTTCTGTGAAATAATTAGATAATGAAAATGATTGCCTTTTGCTCAACATTACCGTGTGGCTTTTTTTTCGTATGCAGATGCCTTCCAACTATACAGTTGTATATATAAAAATCCATCTGAGATATTAAAAGCATTTTCTGCTAGATAACATAAATCATCCATGAATGTCCTATTACCTAATAAAATTATTTTTTATGATTCATGAAGTTTGATTATATGTAAATAAGAATTTTTCATTGAAAATCAGTCTGAATGGAAATAAAATATCTGAACATCAGAAATTGGTGCTCTCTTAAAAAACAAGGCCAAAGATAATGCCGTCTTCTGTCGTAATGATTTGTTTATCCCTGCAGATTATCTTCTACACTATTTTACAAATTAAATTAAGTCCAGGTTTCCTATTATTTTGCAAGATACCCACTTCAAAGAGAAGAGAGGGTCATTCAGACAATAAAGACATTTCCTCTATGCTAATGAAGTCCCAGTGTGCAAAGAAAGCCTGAAGGATTAGATCAAATATTATTTTTTCTCCCAAGGATACATCTGTGTGATATATAACAACCTGTTGTTTGCTGAAAATTGAGCCATACAGGTATTCTTCTTCATGTGAAAATATCGTGTTGGTTGTTGACGGAACAACCCTTGGCGCTGTTTTGAGTGTTTGGAGTGTGTTGTTTTCCAATTGTTTTCATGTACAAAAGACTCAATTCATAATATGAAGAAGGAAAAATGATCTTGTTTCTGTAGTCTGATATTTTTGTATGTGCTGTTTTTTTCTTTAGTAACACAGGGTAGAAACTAAATTGATGACAGAAAACCATGAAGCAGTGCCTCACCTTACTGCAAAACAACAGTGAGAAAATAAATTTGATAATGCACACATTTTTACAAAAACTTAAAAAAAATACATTTTTATAAACAGTAAGATTTCTTCTTGACCTTGGGCCCCAGGAATGTTTCACAATACATTTATGAATTACAGTAACGCTCTTCAAATCATTACGTTTGACCTGAAGGTGTATATGCATAAAAGTTTGCTTTTTTTTAGGTGCAACTAAAATATACTCTAACATAGACTCTGTGTTCACCTGAGATGGTATGCCTTAATTAAATCAATTACCTGCAGAAATAAACTAAACGCTCTTTCCAGGACTTCATGTAAACACCCAGTAAAAGGAGTTTCAGGGCCCAGGTTCCCGAAGGAGCTCTAGCCTCTGTTGAATCATGTATATTCATTTTCACAGTGCTTTCTTTGTTGTTTTTTTCCTTGTTCAGGTAACAAGAAGAGAAGATCACAATGTAAGCCATCATATGTCCTGGAAGGTTAAAGAGAAAAGCCGAGGAAGATGGAAACATCCAAGGGCGTGACACTGGGAAGCACCGGCTCTGACTCGCCGCCTAAGAAATGAGAACTCTGCAAGTGCAAGTCAGCAGCATCTTAAAACCCTCAAGAGTGAACGCCTGCTTTTAGAAAGAGCGGGCTGTTGAAAGATTAGCTCAAGAGACGTTCTCACCTGAAAAATGTTTGTGTGGAGCGAGTGGCAGCCAGTTTCATACACCTAACTTGCCTATGTGACTCCCATCAAACAGGATTTTCCAGACTGCTCCCGTTGATGAAGGCGATGATGGGACGTCACATCGGTGCTTAGAAGGACAAAACAAACATGGAGGATAGCAAAGACTTGGTTCCAAAGTGAGCCTGCCTGCCCTGACCGCCCGATGCGCAGTGGTGTACAGTTTGCAAACGAAGCTGTACCGCATGGTCCTCTTTTGGAAGACCAAGATGACATGTAGTCTGGGGACACTGATGAGCGTTTGAGAGCTTCTGAGGCATCGTGTGCAGAACCAGAACAATGAATGGAGGAAAGGAGTGTGAAGGCGGGGCCAAGGAGGCGGGGCCACCTGCTGCCCATGTTCCGATTGGCTGGCAGCGCAAGGTGGACCCAAACGGAGTGGTTTACATAAGGTAAAGGCCCCAGGAGCTTTCCCGGCAGTGCCTCTGTCCTTAAAGGGGTCTGCGCTCATTTTTCTTTGTTAATAGAAATACAGATTTGGGATGAATCAAAACATTGACCCAATTAAGTATTCCGCTGTTTCAGTTTGCTATAGGTGCCTTCCATCTATGCAGTGGAAACCCAGCCTCATGTACTGGGTTTGTAATTTGTGATTGGCAGGTAAGTCAAAATTGTGATTGAATCCAGGCCTATGTTTACAAAGGTTTTCCGAAGCATTCAGAGTTTGCTAAGAATGAAGTAGTACATTTACCAATTATGTGCGCAATTAAACTAAATTTCCATTGTAAATTAATCTGTTCATATGCAAGTTGTAGCGTATCGTTATGGAACAATATCTTATTCAAAACCGGTAAGATGAAAAAAGCTCTTTGCTTGTCCACGTTCAGAGGTTGAAAAGTTCAGATCTAATTCTGGCCTGAAGCATAACTGTGACAGGGTTCAGGACACTAATGCGTTCCTGTTAGCGTCTTTTTATAGTTTGCAGAAATTGGATTTCTTTGTATTTATTTCATTTACCAGTAGTGTGACTGAGCAAAATATGAGACATCAGTGTGCTTTGGTGGAAGAGCTTGTTTAACTGGGACAGAAACACTCAGTGTGGATATGCATCTGTTACCTGGGCAAGCAGGCAGACCTGAAGAACAGAGTCCGTCACTTTTGTCAAATTAAAGAAGAAAAGCCAACTGTACTGTGATTGGGCCGTGATCCAGTTTTTTTTGCTTAATTGCACTTAAAGCTCTTCTTGCCAGAAATTTGACCAGGTGCCTTGCAGTGTGCATACCCAGGCGCACTTTGCCATCAGTAATTTAATTAAATCTAACCACACCAGAAGTTCCTGCTCTCTGCAGTGAGGTTGGTTGTTCCATTGAAATGGACACTATATTAGGATGGTCCGATCAATTGAAGGGAAAGACAATAAAACTGGCAGATTGGACGTTTTTTTAAGTGGCCGTACAGCAGGACAAGTGCACATAAAACCAAACAGTACATTGTCTAGTATAAACATCCACTAGGCAGGCTCTGGAGTGCAGTTCCTGTACTGTAGATATCGGTGCAGGAAAGGGTTCAGAGGACAGGGTTTGTGTCTGTACTGTAGCTGAGAAGCTCTCCTGAAAGCAGCCTGGAGTGCTTTACAGAGTTCTGAGGAAGGCCTCGCAAGACTCAAAAGAATATATATTTTACAGTCTTTTTTATTTATGTTCATTCCTTCCTCTGCTTCCTGTTCTACATAAATTAATAAATGATCTGGTTGGCCGCTGCTTCTTCAGTTTCATTGTGTATACATCTGGAGCTCACTGATATAGAGCTACTGCATTTTTATTAGAGGAGCTTTGAAGCTTCCTGTAAAAATACAATTAATCGTGAAAGAACAAGAGTACTTTCAGTCGACTCTTATTTTTGTCGAGGTTCCACGCTCTGTTGTGTTAATAGTAATTGAAAGCCAATTGCAGAAGGTGGCTGTTTCATTTTTCCATGTGGAGGTGTTGAACCAAGATGTTTTCCAGTCGGAATTACACTTCTTTGTTACACCGCGTTGTTTTTTTACAAATCTCCTTCAATTTTCCTCGCTTTAAGAGGTGCTCTCAGCCTTGGATATTTTCACAGCAGGATAGTTTACCATAGTTTTAAAGTTCCCTGTTGTAAAGAGTTTAAACATTGTTCACCGTCTCTCATCTGGGCTCTTTTTCCTGCTGTTTCTGACAAGGTTTTAAAAATGTGCGCAAGTAACACCTGACAAGTGAATAGAGTGTAACCTTTATTGTTAAAACCGCTTTGTAAGCGTTTTCAGTGAACAGCAGTGGTGATGAAGGGAGTCTGTATGGTAAATGTTCCAGTACAAGAGTGAAGCAGAACACTTGGAGGTTCTGACATCACAGGCTGTCATCTGAAATAGCGGTGACCTCTGGGTGTCTTGAATCTGGACAGTAGTTTACCAGAAAGCAGCAAAATTTGTCTTATGAAGAATAAAATGTTCGCTGAAGAGTGGATTTGACTTCAAATCCTCGTCACCGTTGCCTGGACTTTCTTTTCCCTGCGATGTTCTTAAAGACAAAGTGCAGTTAATCATGAGTACATTGAGTCTGGTTGATGATGTGCTTTAACCAGCCCATAAAACCCCTGAACTCTTCATAGATTAAAAAACAAATTGCTGCTAGCAGGCCGAAACTAAAGGTTTTAGCCATCTACTGGTTAACTAATTTTAATTTTAAATGTAAACATTTTCGGATGTTTGGTTTCGTAAAACAGGGTTACCAATTTAATAATTTGTGCATCATCTCAACAGCTCCTCAGACACTAATTGCTCTCTCGTTCCGCACCCCTCAGTCCCAGTGGCTCAGTGTTGTCCTGCCTGGAGCAGGTGAAGACTTACCTGCTGACCGATGGGACCTGTAAGTGCGGCCTGGAGTGTCCTCTTATCCTTCCTAAGGTACAGTATAAGATAAGATGACTTTATTGGCCCTATACAGTTTCTTGCATTAGGAATTTGTCTTTTCACATACCCCAGCTTGCTCTCCATCAGACACACTGGCAGGGAGAGAGAAGCTGGGGGTCAGAGCACGGGGTCATCCATTTATACGGCACCCCTGGAGCAGTTGGGGTTAAGGGCCTTACTCAGGGGCCCAATAGAGGAGGATTCCTCTGTCGGCGGTGGGATTTGAACCAGCAATCTTCCAGCCACAGGCGCCGATCCTTAGCCGCAGGGCCACCGCTCCACATGCTGCCTGCGGCTGTCCTTGGAGAGTGCGGGAACAGTATGGTCGACTGGGCGGGGCACCGTGTGAAGCGCTCTGCAGCGCTGCTCTGAGTGACCATGAATTAACATGGCCACAGCGGTGTCGCTGCGCCTGCGAACCGTTAGGTTTTCACACAACCCCGCCAGGCTGAGCTCTTGCAGCCCTCTCCACGGAGGCAGCGCCGCACTGGTGCGGTCAGTCCTCACTGGAGTAGCTGAGCAGCTGGCCCTGCTAGAGTCGGCAGTCAGGCGCCTGGAGACAGCCCGGCCCTGTGCAGTGCGCTGCTGCCCACCAGCAGCCTGCCACCCTCTGTGGGCACTTCTGAGCACCCCCCTCAACGATTCGGCCATGAAGCTTTCAAGGGCCCCCTCCCTGGGTCCCCAGAAGGAGGATTTGTTTTTATTGTTTGTTTGTTTTTTTTAGTGTCATAAAACTATATTGCTTTCTGCAGTGTGGTAATTGATTGTAGCCCAGCTCGAGGAGTAGTCTGAGTTGTTTGCAAGAGTGCAGTGCAGACTGGTACGCCCCATATCCGCAAGAGGCGTGCTAATGCTTCTGTTCTCATTCAGGTCATATGCGCTGCTGGCATTAATGTCCTTTATTTTCAAAAAGTTTTGTGCTGCATATTTTACATTTGTCATTTAAAACAAACACATTGCCTCCATTTTTATATAACAGTTTATTTTCTAGCTGCACAGACTCCTCCCATGCTGCCATGGCAACAGGGGTTGCCAAAAACCAAGCTGGCTGTAGTGTTACAGAGCCACAGAGAAGGGCACAACACACTAGTTGCTGCAGAGTTTATATAGCTCGGTAGCTCACAGAACCAATAAGTGGTCAAAATAATCACATTGCCAGATGTATAATAGCTAAATTAAATTAAATTCTTGAGAGTTTGTGGTGTTCTGTTAGATGAGGATCCTAGTGAAAGATTGCCACTTGTGATGATGATAACAGTGCATTTCGGGGTGCTGTCTTTACACAGTTTTGTTCAGCAAAATTTCAGTTCCGTTTGTCAATTTCAGAACTTCCAGGCTAAACACTGTGATTTCCTAGTACAGTTTATCAAAGATCAGTCTTATATTGAAACATATCTGCAATTTCACCTAGTGCAGTGTTCATCCCACCATGATCTGTATTGAGCATTAGATTTGAGAGCTTTCTTCATGAGATCACATTAACTTTATTCTAGATTTTTCGTGTGTTATCAGGTAACAGAGTTGGATATAAATTATTTAGGTAAACACTTTTCTCGTTGTTGCAAATTTGAAAAGCCTGCCCCTTTGCAGTTAATGTACAGACTAATTGGGTGGCAAATCTTCACAGTACTGTACTTTGTTCGAATGAACAGACATTGATAAATCCATTTCACTGTTCTTTTACGAGCGGCTTTTAAAGCAAATTTAATTCCACACTGTGAACTCAGATGTTCATTTTAATCAGCCGGCGTTTCTCTGTCTTTTTCAGCTTGACGCTTTAATGCGCAAGGTCAGAGACGGGATGCATAGCAAATATATGCTTCAGAAGGCTCTGCGAATGGCTGTAAAAGCTAACAAACTGAATAAAGAAATGCTTTCTCTAGGTGTTTAATTTTGATCCTGGGGCGGCTGTCAAGCAGAGAACAGCGGAGGATGTGAAAGCCGATGAGGACGTCACCAAGCTCTGCATCCACAAAAGGAAAATCATTGCGGTGGCCACGCTGCACAAGAGCATGGAGACGCCACATCCCTCTCTAGTCCTGACCAGTCCCGGCGGAGGCACAAGTATGTATGGGTTGTGTCAGCCGCCCGCGGGTCTAGGTCTGGGGGTCCGCTGCTGCGATTTCATTCCACTGGAGCTTTATTACCTGCCTGAAGTAATCAACAGCCTGTCTGGTTCAAGGCTGCAGAGCAGGCTTCACCTGCGGCTTGCTGGCTTGTAGTTCTCCCGGAGCAGAGCGGTGCACCAGTTGTTTTATGTAACACTGAGGTTTTTGCGAATTTGATCTTTGTATTTTTGCTCAGTTTCCTGTTCTTAGTTCCGGCTGAGCTCTTACTTAATTTATCACCTAAGTCGTTTGGACGACACCTTTCCTCCTTCCCATGTCAGGAGCCGGTGTAAAGTTAAAAAGGGAAAAAAGACCGCTCCGGTGCTCCAACTGCTTTTGGATATGTGTGGTATTGGCTGTGTATGTTAGGAAATATTGTAGACTTCTTTTTTGTGTTTTTATGAATGTAGGAAAAATTTAAATCTACTTTACAAAAGATTCCAAAAAAGGTGACAAAGAAGCTTTCTGAAAATTCAGGGTATTTTGTTAACATTGTGTTCTGCATTTAGCTGAAGTAGCAAATTGATAATGTTGCTATATCTTGAAATAAAGCATATGTCATTAATGAGGTTCATGGGCCTTATGTTACATTTTCCTTTATACCATTGTATATAATACATAATTGTGTTTTTGACTGGGAATTATTGCATGAATTCAAATATATGTATATATTTGGTATTATATCATGTCAACTAATTTTTTCTTTTCCGTTTATGAATCTATTTCTGCTTTTGGTTTGCCTTGCTTTTTAAGTATGTATGTGTTCTCCCAAATTATGCTGAGTAACAGCTAATCCCTAATATATTTAGAAAGTTGAGCACCTTGAAAGTTTCAAAAAAATATATAACGTGGTTCTTGGGGTGTTCCAGATCACAAAATGATCATATTTTGTGTTTTTAAACTGAATTTCAGGCGCAACCCCCATGGTTCCTACACGTTCTGCAACTCCTCGAGCAATAAAGAATAAATCGCACGACGGAATACCTAACTCCGTGGTCCCGGAGTGTAAGATCCCCTTCAAGATGATGATGGTGGGACAGAGGCATTACCAGCAGGAGTTAACAGCAGGTCAGCAACAGGAGCTCTACGCTGGCTATCCGAGACAGAGGCTGGGGAGCAGCGAGCATGGGCAGAAGTCTCCGTACCGGGGCAGTCACGGTGGAATGCTGAGCCCGGCCTCTTCTGGATCGCAGATATATGGTGATGGCTCCCTGTCTCCCAGAACTGACCCTCTGGGGAGCCCGGATGTTTTTGCACGGAACAATCCCGGGTTTCATGGAGCAAAGAATTCTAGCCCCATTCACATGAACAGCAGGACTCCGCTTTCTCCTCCCTCCCTCATGCTCCAGACCTCCCCTGCACAGTCGTCCTGCGCCATGGCAGGGAGGACTAATATACCTCTTTCTCCTACTGTCGCAACAAAAAGCCCTATAATGAAAAAACCCATGTGTAATTTCCCTGCTAACATGGACATGCCGCGTGCAGTATTTCACCATAAGCCCCAGCAAGGGCCCCATGCTCCACCCCCACCTTCCCTGCCCCCTTCCTGTGCTCTTCAGAAAAAGATAACTTCAGAAAAGGACCCTCTTGGCATTCTGGATCCCATTCCCAGTAAGCCGGTAAACCAGAACCCAGTGGTGATGAACCCTGCAAACTTCCAATCAAATGTCCACTCTCAGGTACCTATGATGAATGTAAACATACCCCCCGCTATTGTCCCTTTGCCAAGTAATCTCCCTTTGCCAACCGTCAAGCCCGGTCCCATCGGTCACGGCAGTCACATGCAGAGGGGTCAGCACACAGCTTCCACCTCTATATCGCCCTCCCCAGTGACCTCACCAGTGCACATGATGGGGCCCGCTATGGGGAGGATGGAGGTATCCCCGCAAAGGTCACGTTCATCTTCCACCTCATCAGACCACGGAAGCTTCATTATGCCGTCGGGTCCACAGGTGACCTGCGGCAGCATGAAAGTTCCTCCCAGGTCTCCCAGGTCCTCCATGGGATCTCCAAGGCCCTCTATGCCTTCAAGCCCATCTACAAAGCCAGATGCGCTCCTTCAGTACAAAGACATGCCTAACCAGTTGCTCGTAGGAATGAGCAATGTTCTCAACACTCAGCCCAACTCAATGTTTCCACCTGTTTCTGCCGGAAATGTTCCACAAAAGAATCACCCAGGTCTGCTGGGAATGCCTTTTAATCAGATCTTGAATCAGCATAACGCTGCTTCATTTCCAGCCAGTAGTTTACTGTCAGCAGCAGCCAAAGCACAGCTAGCAAATCAAAATAAAATGACTGGCAACAATAACAGCAGCAGTGGAGGGAGCAGCAGCAGCAGCAGTAGCAGCAGCAGCAGCAGCAGCTCTGGTCCAGTGGGAAGTGGTGGCAATGGGGAAGGGCACAGCACTTTAAATACAATGTTTCCACCCAACTCCAACATGTTGCTGGCAGTGAATGAAGGGCAGAGCGGGCGTGCAGCACTACGCGACAAGCTTATGGCTCAACAGAAGGATCCTCTAAGAAAGCGAAAGCAGTCCACCAACACGGTTTTCAACATGTTGAAGTCTCAGATGAGTGCTTCAGGTGCATCCAAGCCTGCACTGCCTGACCAGCTGAGGAAAGCAGGACAAGGTTCCCTCCCCCCAAATAACTCCATGGCCCAGTTGCTTCAGTCTATGAGCTGTCAGAGTTCCCATATGGCTGGAAATAACGGGGCAGGTTGTGTGAGCTCCAGTTCAGGGATGCTGTGCGCCTCCGGTCAGCTCCATTTTGCAGACAACAGTTTGACACCCGCTGCAGCACAAAATCTGCCAGTGCAGCACCTCCATAACAGAAGGGAAGGAATGCGCTGCCCAAATGTTGACACTAACTTGGTTCACACTGGAGGCCACGTCCTGCATGGCCAGTTTGCTGGTCTGATGAACCAGATGCAGGCTGCCGGGAATTGTGGGGTGCTCGGACAGGCGGGGGTAGCCTTAGGGAATTCTGTCCTTGGCCATCCCAACCTTCACCAGCAACATCTTCCCCACCACCATCACCACCACCATCAGCAGCAACAGCAGAACAAGTCCCACTCAAGGAATCAGGCAGTTTGTGCACCAATGGTACCAAACAGCAATGGAAGCAACTGTGGGCGAGGGATCTCTGATGCAGGTAAGCCTGTGTTTTGAGATGAAGATGAATGTCTCGCCTGCCTGTGTTTTGAATAAATGGCTCGTGTGCGTTTCTGGCTTTTACCCAACCACAGTTTTTGCAGCAGATCATTTTAAGACCAGCTGATGTGGCTAGCGTAGTGTAATAAGTAGAAAAGGTAGGTTGCTTCGAAGGTGATGGAAACATTACAAAATGTGTATGTTTATGTTTGAGTTCTCACATATTTTTTAATTAAAATATTGGGTAGTGTACATCTCTTGATTTTTTTTTCCAGTCCTTATTTTTATATATACACTGAAGTCTATTGTAGTATTAAGTCAGAACCTCTATTACTGTAGTCTTATTTAAAGGAGACTCATGTGCACCCTCTATGGGTGATGAGTTATGGTGTGCTAGAAAGTGAAGAGTCTAGTAACCCAGTTACTAAAGCCATTGAATTTCTACAGCACTAATCTGAACCAGAGCTGGTTTTCTCTCGTACTGTCCCATCCGTTAAGGGCAAACTGATTAATACACAGGGAGCATTTAAATTAACATGAGGTGGGTTCAGAGACTAATGTAACAGGAGATGTGACCCCCCCCCAAAAAAAACTTTTTTGTTAAATAAAGTGAAGGGATACAGTGAAATACAAGTTTTTTATTTATTGCGGTGCTTGGTTAAAACGAGGACCTTGACAAAACCCTGAACTGATTTTCCTTGCTCCTATAATTGCCACACTATCCTTTTTTGCCCCGTTGAACAGTACTGTGCATTGTAGAACTTGTTTCTTCAACTGTCCTTAAAGTAACATTCCATGTGTTTAAACATTTTTCACACTCCTTATAAGAAACTTCTACCAAAGCGTACTGAGCACATTGTCCCTGTGTAGCCTTCTGCTGTTTACAGGCTTTTGTGGGGAATGTTGTAAGACTAAGCTAAAATAACAGTTTATTTGGTTAGTTCTGCAATCTTCCATATTTAGTTTTGACATGTCATAAAACTGCATTCTGTGCGGTAACTCTGTAAAGCTTGGACTTGAGTATGTGGTAATGTGCTTGCCATTATTTTGTAACTTCTGTTTTCAGAAGTATTTAAAAATGAACACATTTCTTTCAGTTTATTTCAGTCAGACTTTGACTAATTATTATGTTTGATTTAGCATTCAGTTTAATTTTAGTTTTTTCTGCCTAAAATCTGAAGCAACCATCCAAGGAACGTGGTTTTATTGTGAATTGTTTAATACAGAAATTTATTCTGCAAGCTGAATTATCTGATTCCAAAGACATTTTTACCTTTCCTGGGTGGGGTTCATTGTCTTCTTGAAGTACATTATTTTTTCTCATGTAGAATAACATGAGAAACTGAAACACTGCTATTTACCCTGACCCGTAATTCCGTTTGTGAACACTAACAACAAACTTTTTTTTCTGGAGCTCTGCAAGTTCCATTTCTGCTATATAAATGAAGCTCATTGCATGTCTGGCATATCATTGCTGATAAAACACACAAACAAATGCTTGACTGGAGAGGCAGTGGCAGGATAGCAAGATGTTAAGGCATTGGGACATTACACTAGAGTGAATAACTTATAGAAGGAAGCAGCCTTTTGCTCTTCTTTAATACAATGTGATTTAGAAAGCAATCTTTAAACATTTTAATATAGAAATGTTTTTTAAGCAGTGCCTCTAGTGTGACTTTTTTTTAAAATTGTGAGATATTTAAGTGAATTCATGCTGGCCTGAAATATAATTGTTTACTTCAAATCCAATCTACAGGAATTCAACTGAACACAGAATATAGATACTTACAGTTTAACAAGGGCTGATGCATGCAGTTTGTTTTTGAATATTTAATAATGTGTTAAATATTTAACTAATTTATGGAAATAATTGTGTAAAGAAAGAGGAGCCTGCTGTCAGCTAAGCTTTCTTTGAAGTGACACTTGATATTCAAGACACTGCAATCAATGGATGATGTCATAAACAGTTAAAAATGACAGGTGGGACAGAATCTTCCAATAGTACATTAAAGCTGCAGTGTGCAGTTGGAAATGCACATTGTTCTCTGTTAATTTATGTTTTTATTAGTCTGACTTGTTATTCAAAAATCCACAAGCTGCTTAAATTCAGCATCACTTGTGATGCAGTTTCTTTTAACAAGTCAACAATTGAACTGTCTTGTAAGCAAAATTAAATTTCATTTTTCATATTTAATTAAATGTTTTAAGCCCTTTCAGACAACATGACAATGTGCAGCTGTTGGTAACATATTTTGGGGGATGTTCTTTCTTTCGTTCCAGGTATTTCAATGTCTTATAAAGGCTTGCAAAGTGTTTACCTAACAAAGTCAGCTAGGATATCAGTGTGAGCCATGTGGACACAAAAGTGATCCATGTGCTTCTAAACAAAATCAGAATGGGAATAATAATGTTTCTAGGGGGAGAGACCCTCTCCTTGGGACAGAAGGTATCATGGGCTCAGTCAGAAGGTACCTGACTTTGCAAAGACTGAGCTGAAACCAGTGGACTCTTGGAGTAACCCCTGGGGCTGTTGTGTGTTATTGCATCTCATACCCCAAGTCAAAACATTCACCTGCTCAAATTCCAAAACCAATTCTCCACCAGGGACACAGGAAGGCTCTAGCATAAAAACGTCTGCCCTCATATGACATTTGAAACATGCTGCAATCAAGTGGGGCAGAAGTTGGTGTAATCTTGCCTTTAATGGAAGCCTGGCTTCAGTTCTCTGAGGGTGTCTGGTTAGAACAGCACGACAGTTTTCCACTCCTGTCTATACGAAAGCATGGATTCTCGTTTCCACTGAGCTCTGTCCAACGTAGGGATGGATCAAAACTGACAACGATGAGTTTTGAGGAGTGAACAAGTGGCAGGTTCTAGTGCTGACATTCTATGGAGCAATAAAAAAAGCATACCGTTTCTTTCAGAAAATGATAACTGGAAGCAATTTCAGAAAAAAGGTGGTTTAGCAGACACAGAATGGGTTAATTATACTCTATATCTATGATAATATGAATATTAGGTTATTAACACTGCAATAGGGGATTTTCTGAAGTCTGAAGAAGAATATTGTGTTTTGTTTAATATTCTTTTGTAAATATTCCCAGTGAAATAGTATTCAGCACTTTAGAAATAATTAAAGCCTCCTTTTCCAAAGTCATTTTGCCTCTGTTGACTAGTCTTGAACTTGAATGACTCATTCTGATAATGATTCTTAGAGCAGTAGTAGTGGGGCTTTCTCAGTGTAGACTCCTCTGTGCCAGTTTTAGAAAGTAATAACTACAGCAGGACTTAGAAGAAACATCAAAGTTGTTCGTAAAACAACATAACCTTTCAATATTCATATTTCCACAGGACTATCAGGCTGAAGCACATTTGCTCAGCTGTTACAACATTTTCCAAATGGGAGGATTCTATTTTAATTCACTGTCACTGACAAAGCCCACAATGAGAGTGCAGCAGCACAGAGCATGTGTCTGACTGGGGTACCCGGTTCACTTCATTGCTATTGTTTTCCATGTGTATGTTTGGGTTTTGTTTCTTTTGGAAGTGTTTCTTATCATGGTATTGTACGAGCAATCAGTTTTTTTTTAATTAAAACTTATGCCCTTCACCAAATACTAGAATTCTGTGTGAAGTATATTAAAAGGTATTCTGCCTATATGAAGTCTTGAAGGACAAACCTGTCTAGTTTTTGGATATAGTGTTATGTAGCTTTTGTAATCTGATGTTTAGGTTACACGGTGGCTCAATTCGTTTTCTGTCCTGTACGGATGTTTTTGTTTTGTTTGAAGTTGTGTTGAATGTGTTTTTAGGTTATGTTTTATTGACAGATCAAGGATTTACTTTGTGAAATAGCACCTTCATTAAAATAAGAAGCTACTGAAATAATTCTGACGGTAAGCCCCCAGTCATCAACATCCTGAAATATTCTTGTGACATTTTCACAAGTAAAATCTTGCATAATAAATTTTACTTTTAAAGGTTAATGCTTCTTTAAATGGGTTTTCTCTTGCAATTAAAGTCGCTTAATAGGAGACAGCAACCTAGTGATAGAAAAATCAATGTCAACGTTCTTATAAATGTTGGAGAAAAATCATAGAAAATGGCTTCCACATGGAAGCCCTTCATGCAGAGTGAGGCACACATATCATTTCATATGAAACATATGATTTACAGTATGTGTTACAGTATTGAACTCTGGATCTAAACTTGTCAGATGAAATGGACAAAGCCTCTTTTGATTTCATTACAATCTCCTTTTTTGGAATTGCTTAAGTTGGAGGTATGGAAGTCAGTCAATGAGAAATTGTCAGTAATATCCCATGGCAAACAGTATTGATTTAAAAGCTCTACTGAAGGCCAGGCGTTCCTAGCAATGGATAAAGGGCCTTCATTCTGAAGCTTAGTCTATTTTCCCATAGTGATGTCCTTTCCTGCAATCTGTGAGAATTCCACAGTTAATGACAGAACAACATAAAAAAAGGGTTTTTGTTTCTCATAAAAGATTTAGCCTAGATAGACTTTAAAGATTTTCAGAGCATGTTTGTAGCTATAGTAACAACACTGTTGGTGCTGAATTAAGGATTCCCTGTGATATGGTTCTCATATCCATCTGCTAGTGTGACTTCTAGCCTGTGTACTTTCACCACAGGTGAAAGAAACAGCTTTGGGCACATTGTGGATGACTTTCACCTTGACCCTCTCCTTCTTGATTTTCTGCATTTACTGTACAGGTGCACGTCTGCTCCTTGGAAGTGTTGATGCCTCTGCAATATATTGAGTCCATGCCCCTAGCTTACCAATGCCAGCTGAATGGGTGGTCACATGGAATCTAGTTTTCCTGTTAGTCCTTCTATTTCTAAACCTATTATGGGGATTTTGGGGGAGTGCCGGGGATGAGATTCATGTTTTAGTACAAATTTTAACAATTATGAGATCTGTTATGGTACCCCAATGCCCTCTTACCTAGGTTATCACTTGGCAGTTCCAGAGGCTTTTACAACTTTAGACATAAAATATCACAGTCTGAAAGGGTGGAATGCTGTAATCCTATTTTAATGCCCCCAGTACAAGTTTTTGGTCTACGTAATTTCTGGAGCTTATTTGTGAACTACATTGGGGGTTTTATTTTGATGGGTGCAATGCTTAAATGCAAAGTTCAATTACTTTCATATTTTTGATCCTCCTTAGTGTGAATTCAGAGCCTTGCTTTGCCTTCATGCCACCAGGTGTGTATCTCTTTGAAACTACACAGCCTGGCACAGAGGTGCACATTTTGCATTTCACACTCATCTACACAGGCTGTGTTAGATATTTCTGTAGTGACTCGTGCAACCAGCTGATTCCATTATAACAGCTGATGTAGGAGCACAGCACATAACCAACTCTGACTCCTTCAAATGAAGAAAGCTTAAATAATGGCAATAACTGAATTCAGAATAGCTGAATGATAGGTCATAAACTTTTGATAACCAAACATTTGTACTTCTTAATAGAAAATTGCAGAGAAATTAAAAGTACAGGTAGAAGAAGTAGTAATCCTTCTTTTTCCTTAGCCACCTGTTTTACACCTACTGTATCCGGCAAAGAACACAACAGGCAGAGAATAAAATTAATGGCACTTATTTACCAGTGAAAGCGCTGACTGCATTGTCATTCTGTGCTACGGGATCTTCTCAGAGGTCTGCTGCTGCTGCAGGTATAAGCCAGGGGACAGCTTTAGCAGGTGGAGTTGGGTGAATGTTGCCTCTCACAAGCTGCAGCACACAACCAAACGAGCATCCGGGATAAACTCTGGCTTCACCAAGCTCATGCAGTAACGGATTTGGGAATGTCCGGGAACATTCACTCACAGATGCTGGATCAAACCACATGTTTCGACTAGCAAGATCTCTGTGTTCAGAAAATTTGAAGGAAGTCTTTGATGCGAATAACCTCATCAAACGTGTGCTTGAAAACTCTTGGATCAGCCCATGATTAATTTATTCTCGCAAACTCACAGGTGGCAGCTGTGTTTCAGCGAGATGACCGTCCAAGTGGCTGGCTGCCAGGGGACAGCAGGTACCCACTGAAGCAGTGACTGTTTACACCTTTCTTTGACCCTAATATTCCCTCTAAGCAAAGGTGCCACTGTGACATCATTCTGTTCTCATAATGTGGCTGAGATCACATTTGATCAGCTAAAATAAAAGAGATTCGGTAGTTTGAATGCTTTGACAGGGACTGCTTTCAAGGCTCTGGGGTTTAGCAATGTGCATTGTCGTTAACTTTCTGTAAATCGTTCTCATTTTTTAACCTTCAGAGATCGGCTTGTTAGCCTTTAGAGGAGACACAAGTTTTGATGAGCAGTGAAAGATGCTGAAATAAGTGCAGCTGACAAATGGGTATTATACATCTGACTGGCATATGCTCATTATTTATTACAAAAATACTTTGCCCAACCCTATATGCTCAAGCTAAGCTAATCCTTAGAATCATGTAACCTTGTTCACTATTGGTGAGTGATTAATAAAAACTGAAAACTGTAATCAAAGTAACAGTGTAGTAACTGTAGCAGGCGTAATAAATATCCATGTTGCATATGTATTTTTTTACTTTCTGCATCAGATTACAATTACGCAACTAAATAATGTAAATGTAAGATGTAATATATTTTATTTGGTTTAAAAGACTATGGGATTTATTTATAATGCTTAAAACCGAATAAATATGGAAAATTAATGAGTTGTCATGCTCTAAGATACAGACTTGGAAGAAATAAACGGCAACTCTTATTGTCATAAGTAAAAGTTCAATTTTTAAATATTTTCAATAAATGTATATAAACAGATAATACTCTTGGTGGAGACAATGTTCAGAATCGGGTCTTTTGAAATCTGTTCATGATGGGATACCTCAGTTTGTGTTAGTGTCTGTGATCATTTTTTAGAATTAGGCTCTTAATTGTGTCAAAGGTTCTTCAACACTTTCATCACATAGCCCAGTGAAAGGTCAAGAGTTGTGAAACTCATAGTGCTCTGTTCTCATTAAGATGGAGGGCTCTAGTACATGTTGCTTCACCTATCCCAGCATGCCTATCGCATCAGCACAGAGCTGTCCACAGCTTTGGGGTGGAGAGGTGATGTTTGTCTCGCAGACCAAGGAAAATCCTGACATTGTTACCAGTTTCATCCCCAAATTCAGTATTTCATTTAATCTTCACAGTGGGGTTTCCTCAGATCCTTGGATCAGAGTACACCCTACCTCCTTTTATGCATGTAATTCGTTCCCAGAAACCCTTTCGTATAGTGAAAATTCATGATGAGAAAAACCTTTTTCCATTATTGCTTATGGGGGAAAAATTACAATCGGTTCTGGACCCCGGAAAAACTTACCCCTACTTTTACTTTTTTCACCAAAAATGATAGGAGAAGCAATAATAGCTAACATTCATACTGTGGTTTGTGATTTTAGTAATAAAAAACACTGCTTACCTAGTTAGACATCATTAATCATAAGTACTAAGTACAGGCATCCTAAGTACTGTACTTAAACACTTCATTTGCTTTTTATGTAAATACACACTCACAATTTTTGTTTTCTCAACACCTTTAAGATCCATGATAAAGTCTAAAATAATATCCTTACGAAAAGTAAGGGTGCACACGATAGCGAAGAATGCACAATGCAAGACCCGGTGAACTGTATCACACCTGCCTCTTGTGCCACTCTGTAGGCTCTGCTCTCTCGCCCATAGTCAGAGGAATGTGATGTGAAGACTTCATATGAAACCAGTGCCATTACGTCTTCCTCTTCACTCTCTACATTTGGCAGAGGTTTTGAAGTTTTTCTTCATATCCTTGATATGAAGTTCTTTGTAGTTTTGAAGTTGGGTTTTGTTATTTTGAAATACAGGTGACAATTCACATGCTTTGTCGTCTCGAATTTTCTTTTAAAGAACATGCGTAAAAAGAGGTGTGGATGTATATAGCGAATAGATTATTTTAATTATCTGACATTTAGATGAGTTCAGTCCCACGCTGTTATCTGTATCTTACAATACAAGCAAGGTGGCAAAGGGCACCACACAAAATACTGGTATGGATGACACTTTAGTTTTAGTACTGTGTCTTTTCTTGGTGTTTTTTTCTTTTATTCCTGGGTTAATTGTTGGACTTGTAGCTATCCACCAACGAAAACATAATAAGGCCTCAAGAAACTGTAAATGAAAGTAATATCTGTGCATTTGTGTTCACAGCATTAGGGTGGTTGTCACTAATGCAAATACTGTTGTTTCCTTTTTTTTCTCCTTAAATCTATTTTCTTCTTCACACCCTTAACTCTGTGCCTTAGGGAATGTCAGAGATTCTTACCAGTCCTAGCGCCGCATCGCCGGGAGACGATGTTCCCGTCCAGCTGTTGATTACCTTTAGTCCTGAGCCTTAGCCAATTGGCCGCACTGCCTCCTGATGTTAGTAAAGAAGCATCTCAGGCAGAAATCTCCTAATCGGTCTTTATTTCTGTGTATTTCAGGAAGTTCAGGCCCATCATCTTCCATGGCAGTAGCCGGTGCCAATCAGCCTGCCATCACCAAGACCACCTCTGTAATGCAGGACGGAGTTATTGTCCGAACTTCGAGAGGCAATCCACTGCAAGGCCAGTTACCTATGGGGAGCGCTTTTCCCTTCATGGGACAGGAGCAGATGCTTCAGATCCCACAAAATAATCCAGGCAACCGCAGTCTTACAAATCCTTTAAACACAAGCCTCCTTGGTTCCTTGTCCATCCCTTTAGGCATGAACCAACAGCAGCAGCAGCAGCAGCAACAGCAGCACCATCTCCTAAACCAGAATCTGCTAAACATGTTACCGGCTCCGTCGGGAGACAGCAAGCCCGAGGTCAATCTCAATCCTCTGGGCATCTTAAACCCCAACCTTAATGCTGCTCTGGCTTTGCTCTCTAATGGCACGGACGGGCAGCCCCTGCCGCCTGTCCAGCTCCTCGCAGCCATGCTGCAGAGTCAGGCTCAGGCTGCGTCCATGCTTCCATTGCCCCCTTTCAATCTGACCCTGCCTGGTTTGTCACAGCAGCAGCAGCAGCAGCAGGATGACACTCCTTTACCTCCCATGACTTCAATGCCCATTCTGCCAGACCATTTGCAGCATAACCAGTTAGATGGCAACAGAGCAGAGGCTTGGCTCTCCCACCCTCTGATGAACTCTTTAGTGGGTCTTTCAGGCAGTGACACTGCTCCTAATCCTTTACTCCTCCCAGCTGTCACTGGGGCCTCGGGGCTAATGTCCTTGAATCCCCAGCTGTTGGGAAGCCTCCTGAACTCTGCAGTGGACAGTACTACTAATCATCCCGAGGTTCCCATAGCAACCTCCTCCCAGGCAACCACTACCACAACCACTACATCATCATCATCAGTGGCAGCCATGGCTGTCTCCTCACTGGGTGGGACAGCTGTAATGTCAATGGCAGAGACTCTGTTGAACCTTTCCAGCAACTCTGGGAACGCGACAGGACCCACCAAGCTCATCAGTGGTTCAGTGGTGCCACAGCTGCTGAACCCTCTGCTTGGCACAGGCCTGCTTAGTAAGATTGGATTTTAAAATACATTTTGCATGCTTTCCTCACAGAATAGTATGACAGTCTCTTTAGGAAAACGCTATGGAGTGCTTAGCTCTTTGTTTTTGTATTGTTAGGTCTTCCTGTTACTCATAAAGACTAGTCTCTTTCCATCTGATCACCTTCATTTTTGCTGTGCAGATATGCTCTGTTTGCTTGATAAAGTGTCAGACCCACTCACTGAAACTAATATAACAATTTAAAAAGTTTCCACCAAAAAGAGAAAGCCTCATATAAACAAAACGTGATCACTTCCTAGAGCAAGGTTTATAATTTGCGATGGGTAGGTGGTTATAAGTATTGGCTTAATTTGTCCATTAGAAGATTAATTGTTGTTGAGTTATAGCACTTGTGTAGCAATTAGGTGGTGTTCTTTTTAAACCACGAATCATACCTGCACTGTAATTTAGCACGCAGCAATAAAAACGTCTTTCTCGTTCATGTTTGTTGCAGCAGATGTGTGGAGGTTATTGGATTAACATTGGTAGTTTGTGAAGCAGTGTCAGGACTCCACCTGAGCAGAGATTAAATTCAGCACTGTGTGCTTCTCGTCCATGGCGGTCTGAACAAGAATGCAGGTACAAGAAAGCGTACAGTATGTCACAGATCTGTGGGAGGAGAAGGCACAGGCTTTTCATTGGCTTGTTTTTCAGATGAGGAGAGTTATAGAAGTGGAGTAGGTCAGCTTTGTCAGGGAGTGTAGTCTTGATATGCAGTTTGCTGGAATAATACAGTGGGGTCGTACATGGATTATGTGGTTCCTTAATGAGAACTTGCCATAAAATATTATCTGTTGTGTGTTGGGATCAAAGAATTATTGATTGGACAGTTATGACTTGCTCTGTGACCAGTATGCTGTTATGAACTTTTCTTGCTCCCTGTTTTTTCAGATTTCAAACTTCTGGAAAGATAGGATTAGCTGAATAATTTTCATACAATATTACAGTTAGAATATGTGTGCCTTAAAAGCTTTAGTGCCTGTGTTAGCAATGAAAGCATGCCTCCTAGTTTGGCCCTGGGGGCATCATATCAGTGACATGCACAAGGTCCAATAATGATATCGCCATTGAAGAGAGATTTGGTTCAGTTTCTACACTACATTACAGTTTATCCCTTCACAACCAAAAATCCTACTAGGTGAGAAGTTTGGATCTATGTATTAAGCTGAAAGGAAATAGCCCGAATCTGTAGGTTTTTTTTTTATTGATTCAGTGATATTATTTTTCCAAAAATAACATGGGAAAGATTGCAAACAGAAACTTGTCATGAAAAATCTGTGGAGTAAGCACAAGGATTAAGCAGGTTTTTGAACATGTTTTTTTTTTTTAAATCTGTCATTAATATGAGTTAGGCTAGGTTTATAGATGAAATGCATTCAGTTAAAATTCCTTGAATTTCTAATTAATTGCAGCTTTTAATACTGTACCTGTGCATATTTGTATTATTCTCCAAGCAAAGAAATGGACACTTGTCTCAAGTATCTCTTCAGACATGTACTGGGGGCCCTTAATGTTTCTATTGATTTCTCCTTATTACAGAGTCAGGGGTTATCTTTTATCTGAATAGAGCTATAATTGGTTGTGTTCAGTCTAATGTTATAGAAGATAAGCTATAGTAAATAATGCTGTCTTGCAAAGTGTGACATTGCTACCAGTCCTGTAAAGAAACCAGACATCGGTAACCTCCTAAATTTCCTGGTCTGCTTGAAGAATTGATTCATTTTCCAGGTGAATGCTACCAGAGTTAAATTGCTGCACCTTAGAAACTTAAACTTTTATTCGTCGTAAATAACACAAACGTCCTTGTGCATTCTAGCAAGCCCCTCTTGCCTGCTACCTCTGTTCCTCCTGCTAGTTGATAGTTGAATATATTCATGTGCCGGTGGGTGTTGTCTTGTGCAGCGCCCCCTGTAATTCTAAACCCGGCTGTTGTCATTCTTTTTCTGGTCGCTGATTCAGCTGAGGTCAGTTCCAACCTGGGGCCCCAGCTCGGGGGAGTCTGCATGGTCTCCCATGTCTTCCGTGGGTGTTCTCTGTATGCTCTGGTGTGCTCTCGCAGTCTAGGACCTTGCTGTGATGAAGATGAAGGTTGTGCAGTGTGTGCGCGCTCTGCTCCCTGTGCCTGCTGGCTTGGGGTTCAGATCATCAAGCTCCTCTCACTATAAAGCAGTAATTGAAAATGGATGGTGTTTGCTTTAGCATGTTCTTATTCACATTAAAGATGAGGTTATTCTATTTTTTGTGGTCAGTTAATGCCGCCTTGATAATGAATTATTTAAAGCTCTACAAGTAATTCAGTTCAGTTTCAGTTTTCTGTTCTTCCAAGCAGTATTGGCTTTAAACATTTTTAGGATGATTTGTTAATTCATAGTCATCAATTATAGAATTTTTTCCACATACAACCTTCATTTGAAATAGATATTCTTCCAATTTGAATAGTAGTTAGAGTAGTTAGTTTCGCCGTTTTAAGCCATGGAAGAGCAAATTGCATGTAATATTAAATTCTCTTATAGACGTTTTGTTATTCATAAGTTGATATGGAGTGATCTTTAGATATGATCTCCCGTTTTTATTTTCTTTAGGAATTTTTATTATATTTTATTTATTTTTTTCCCTTATTTTAACTGTTTTAGTCACTTCAATGCAGTCTGTCCCCAAATGCCTCACTTCATATTGGTATTTACTTCTTTTAAGCATACTGTGAATGCAGTGTCCTGGTAAAGTGTTCAACCCCTTACAATGACGTCCCAATATAAATGACTCTAAATAATTTATTGTATGTGAAATGAAAACTTTATTTCTCAGATGTACTGTATTGGTCAGTATTTGCAGGAAGCCACTTTGACCGCAGTTACAGCAGTGAGATTTAGTCTCTACCAACTTTGCACACATTGATGGTGCTGTTTTCAGCCTTTGTTCATTGCAGACTTGGCCAGGCTCTGTAAAGTTGGTTGGGGGTCTGATGGACTGCATTTTTCCAGTCTTGGTACAGAATTGAGATTGGATTGAAGTCAGACTGGGCCACTTCTTCGTTATGCTACTCCAGTTTTAGATTTAACCTTGTGCTTTGGGTTATATTCCTGCTGAAGGGTGAATTTTCATCCGGGTTTTAGGTCTTTAGCAGGTTGAAGCAGGTTTTTCTCTGAGATTTGCCTTTACTTTCTTTCATCCATTTCCCCTCGGTCTTGACAAGCCACCACGTGTTGAACATGAGGGATGGTGTTGACCGAGTGATGCACTGGGTTGGGATACAAAACACTTTGCATTTAGACCCCCCAAAATTTCCAATAATATCTCCTCTTACTGCAAAACAAAAATTCTTTGTCGCAAACTCGGTGAGATTTTTTTTCAGTAATGGCATCCTTCAGCTATCTGGAGGGACCAGGATATTTTTTGACTAATGGACTTTTTCTCGCATTTTATCCATTGAACTCTGTAACCCTTTCAAAGTCTCCATTGGCTTCACTGTGGCCCCTCGACCCTTCTCCTCCTTGCCCAGTTGCTCAGCTTAGAGGGACAGCCTGGTCTATGATACATCTCACACTTCTTGATGATAGATTTGCTGCGTTTTCAAACCTTTTTCTCGATTGGCAACTTTATCCCCGAGTTTTTTTGTGAGCTCCGTGATCTTCATGATTGAATACTTGCATGAAATTCGCAACCTGCCTCAGGGACCATACGGAGTTAAGTGTTTATTCTGAAATAGGAACATGTGAACTACTATTAATGCCCTCCGGCAGAGGCCATTCTGCTGATTGTATTACTGTAATTTTGTGCACCTGAACTAATTTACTGTAGGTTTGCCTAAATTAAAGTTTGGTGAATACATATGCAATTAAAATATGTTAGGCTCGGATTATTTTTTTGTTTTGACTAACATTGAACTTGGTTTACTCATAAGTGTTCAGTTTGAGCGTTGAATTTTTTTATTAAAAATATTTATAGATGTGTATATGGAATTTGAAAAACAACAAAATGGGATGTCACTGGAAGGGGGTGAAAACCTGTGAATATTCTGTTACAGTGATTACACAGCTAGACTGATAGTTAAACATGTACCAGTGTGTATTTTCTTGTTACTCACTGCAACTGCGATATCATACAAAGTATTCCATACTTGTAAACTCCATGTTCAGTTTATAAAGCTGAGAGTGCTTTATAGGCATCTTTATAAGCCATCCAAGATCATTTTTTAAGCAGACACCAGTGCCTCGTCCAGGAGGAGTGTGATGGGTGTATCAAAGCCTTAGGGCAGTCAACCCCCAGCTCTGTAAAGTGGGAATTTAGGAATCCTCCTGTTTTTGGGCTGGTTGGTCCAGTCTCTGTGTGACACTAGGCAGAGTGCCCCATTAAAACAGTTCAGTATTGGAATGCTATCTCCGTGTTTTCTGCAGCCAGCAAGGTTTTCTGCTTTGTGAGCTCGTAAATAAGTACCAAGTAGATTTTAATTTAATCATCAGACAGGTGTACGTTTTGTAGGTGAGAATCCTCGTCGTTTAAGGTTTTACGTTTTCTTCCACTAATTAGATGAGAAATTTGAAACGTGCATTTTTGATGGTTTGTTTGTAGGAATAAGCAATGTATTACATGGAGATATTCCTTTTTCGGATTTGCCCATCTGTAAATACCAAATTTAGTTTCGTACTAATGTAAGTTTTAAACCAAACATATCCAGTGCTTCTATTGCTCCTTTTTGAGTAAATGATTTAAATTCTAGTTGTTGGGAAACAATTTACATTCCTACCTTTTTAAGTGTATTTTATATAGGAATATCTAAGAAATAAACATGAATCTTAATGACATCACATTTCTAAAAAGAGAAATGCAGAACCGTTCATAGTCACCCTGTACTAAATTAAACATATACAGATTAACAGGAAATGGTACTACAGTCTTATACAGCAGAACATCAGAATACGCTATGTTTCAATCTTAACATTTTCCTTATGTTTGTAAAGTTGTGTGACTAAGGGTGTAGAATTCTATATGCAGCTAAACGATTTTTAGCATCTGTTTGCCATAAGGCTTAGGCAAGTATGTTTGAAGAAAAATAGTCTGACTCTTTTTCTGGATGTAGGAATGTTTGGATTGATGTAGTGCAGGTATAGGTTTCATATTTATTTTGCATGAAAAATTATTTTAGGAAAAGCCAGAGCTGCTTCTTTATTAACTAGCTCCACGAAGCAGGTGATCAGCCTTTTCATCTTCTGGTTGCTCTTTGTCTCGTAGGCGATGGCTCAGCGCTGGCCAGCAGTCTGGGTGACCCGCAGCTGGGCAGCCTGCAGTCGCTGATGGCCAACAACCAGATGTTTCACCAGAGCCAACAGCAGCTGCTGCAGGGCATGCAGGGCAGTCAGAGGGGGGTGGGGCTGCCGGGGCAGCACGCCTTCCCTGACAGCGCCTTTCCTGAGAACACCTCCAGCCCCATGGCCTGCCTCTTTCAAAGCTTCCAGGTGCGTGAAGCGAAGTGACAGGACCCCGGGGTCACTGACAGTGTCCTCCCAGTTAAACAGCCGGTGGTGATTTCGCCTGCTTGTCTCTCTCACTTTCGTGCTACTATCAGACACCAGCTTGTTTTGTTGAGGGTTTTTTTTTCCCCTGCGGAGCAGCAGGACCTGCCTTTTTTAACGTTTGCTTTCACTCTCGTCAGGTGAGCTTGCCGGAAGAACTTGCAGCTCCCAGCAAGCAGATGAGCGCCCAGCCGGGGGCGCTGCCGCTCCCCGAGAGCTCCGGCCTGGCGGCGCTCCCTCGGTTCCGCGATGGGCCCTGCGACCTCCAGCACCAGGGTGTGGAGCAGGCAGCCGAGCAGGCTGCCCGGGAGAACCTCTGCGGTCCCGGTCCCGGTCCCGGCAGAGACCCCTCTGTGGATGCCATTTACAAAGCAGTGGTGGACGCCGCTAGCAAGGGCATGCAGGTTGTCATCACCACGACCGTGAGCAGCACCACCCAGATGAGCCCCATTCCTGCTCTGAGTGCCATGAGTGCCTTTACTGCCTCCATCGGGGACCCCGTCAACCTCTCCCATGCGGTCAATGCAGTAATCCATGGCAGGCGGCCCTCGGGTCAGGAAGCCGAACACCGGGCCAGAAACGCCAGGGGACCGAGGGTGCGGAAGAACTCGGAACAGGGCAAAAGTACACCCGAGGGTGCGGAGGCTCACGATTACTTCAGATCCCCCGGTCGCAGCACCCCGAGGAAGCAGTGGGAGGTGGACTCTGCCCCTGGCGTGGAGGGCAACCCGTGGAAGTGTGAGGAGTTTGTGGAGTGCCCCGCCCACGTCCACAGCAGCCCTTGCACAGAGCGGCCTAACAGCATCGCCACCATGCTGCCTCTGGCTGTGGAGCAGCAGCAGCAGCAGCTGCAGCCGCCGCCGCCGCTGCCCCGTCACCACCACACAGTATTAATGCCAAACGAGAAGAGGTTTCTGGAGGAGAACTTCAAGGTCAACAACTGTAAGAGGACTATGGTCACTTTCAAGGACAGGCTGGAGCAAACTGTGGAGAGGTGTGCGCACATCAATGGCAACCAGCCTCAGACAGGCAGGGGCTACGGCGTCCTTCTGAGCACTCCCAAGCAGGACCATGCCGCCGAAGATCAGTCCCCCAGCTCCTCTACCAGCTTGGAAGGGTCTCTGGTCAAAGACTACATCCATTACAATGGGGACTTCAGTGCAGAGAGCATTAATGGGTGTGCGCCGAGCCCATCAGACACTAAAAGCATTAGCAGTGAGGAGGACTTAAGAAACCCAGACTCTCCTTCATCTAACGAGTTAATTCATTACAGGCCAAGGACGTTTAACGTAGGCGACTTGGTCTGGGGCCAGATCAAGGGTTTTCCTTCGTGGCCGGGAAAACTTGTGAGTGAAGAAGAGGTGCACAACTCCGCTGTCCAGAACAGTGAGCAGGGCAAGGTGCGTATGTCTGCAAGGACACGGGTCTTCCAGTCCTGTAGAGACCTTTTGAATAGATGGAGCAGCCGAAGCACGAGAACCTTTTTGTGATGTTTGAAGATGAGCAGGAATAAAATTCCCATATTATGTAACAAAAGGGGGAAAATAGAATTTCATTTTTTTAAATAGATCACATTTTTTTCTAAGTACTATATACATAATGTGATTGCATTTTATAGAACATGAACAGGTTAGATGGCCCTCCTCTCATCTGAAAGCCTTCTTACTGTATATTCTGCCTCATCTCTAAAGTAAAAACTCTTGCATTTTATACATTAAACTACTCTCTTCCCACTAATCATTCAGCACACTGGCATTTTCGCAATTAATGTGTGTGCTGTTGTAATCACCTATTTTTTCCCCACCAGTTTTTCCCACTTGTGATATTTATAAAGTAGGTTTTTCTTCACACAGCCACATATGAATATTACTTTTGCTTTCTTTCCTCCCAGAGGCAAGTTGTTTTAGAGGCTTTTATTTGAGAAGCTCAGTGACTCCAAAGGAAAGAAGTCGAAGGCACACCCCTGGGGGTCATTGTTCCAAAGCAACACGCAGGAAGTGTACCTTGCACTGTTCCAAAGCATGATCACAGGCCCGCGGCTCTTTCCTTATGTGCCAAAACAGTAATAAGCAAAAAACCAATAACAGTTTAAAAAATAGGATAGTTAAATGTGTTGTGGGCGCAGTTTAAGTACTACGTCAGTGCTGACAATTGACAAACCTCTGCAAAGATATTGTCTCTTTAGTCGTTGCGTGTATGTCTGTTCTTTTCATCTGTGGGCATCTGAAATATCTGGCACTGGACCCCTGTCTCCCCTTTACACTCATGCAATACCCTACTCCCTGCTTGCTTAGCACCAGCATCCAGCTTGTTCCCGTACAGCACTTTGAGAAACCCGAGAGGCATTAAATCCAGGATTTCTCAGGATAGCTAGCTGCCTCTGTAGACACTATTTTGCTTAATTTTCAAACAGGGACTACTCCATTTCCGAGACTGACACGGTGGAATTAGCACTGACGGCGTGACTCCATAAACCTTTTGAAATATCCATGGATCTCTGCAAAACAGTGATTCATATCCTCTGCATTTCTGTCCTAGGTCTTTGTTGTCATGACCGAAGTTCAGCCTGTGACTTGCATCTTAGTTCAGATGTCAGACAGCACTTGGCATTGATTTGATTTCTTTTCAACTCTTCTCTTACAAACTTTCGTTTTTCCACCTGCCTCCAGTGTGGATTTCTCCTTACTCTTGGAGAAGACGATTAATTGCTCCTTTTGAACCCTTTGATGTCTTTGTTGTAGTTCAGAGTGAACACTTAAATACGACATTGATTGTGGGATCTTGCTTGCCTCTGTGTAGCCTTGTCATGAGTCATACATACATTTAAAGGCATGTTGCTCATTTCATGACTATGATTGCATCTTATTCCAGTCTCATTAGAATTACAGCTAGGTGTCACAAGGGGGCAGTTTTCATAATTATTTTTTTACTCTAGATACTATACTTAGTAGATAAAAGCCCAGGTCATTTATGAACCTCGATATGTGAGTGGAGAAACCCATGCAACCACACCACCCCAGTGTTATCTGTACTAATCCCAGGAGCTACTCTGTGTGGTGCAAAGGCTTTGAAAAAGCTGTGTTTTAATTCTTGTCCCATTGTATGCAATTCATACTGCACCTTCTGTTAATTAAGGAGCTGCTGTCTGTTGTAAGCAAATTATGCTTTATTGACCTTAAATCATGATTATGGAGTGTGCAATGAGGACCTCACTTTGGTTGTGTGAGTCATTTTGTAATCTCGTCTTGTGCTGCTGTCCTGTAAACTGGAATCCTAGATAGATTCTTTCAAATTACTGCTTTTTTATTGCTACTTTGATCATTTTAGCTCAACAACAGACTTTTAATTACAGTTTGAATATTTACTATATACTATATAAATGAATCAAGATACAGACATATGCGATGGAGTTTTAATCATACGTTGCAAGTTCAACTGTCATGTAGTGCATTAATGAGGCTTTATGTGGGACATTTATATACAGACCCTGGCATTTTAGCCTCAAAACAGTGAAATAAAGACCCATTAGAGCCTACATTCATAAATGATAAGCACATTAATGTGTGTTAGGTATGTACATAAGAATGCTGGGCTGAGTATGATACACAAGGTGTTGGTCATTAATATGTTTAAAAAGAAAAATAGTGAAGTACATGTTTAATAATTGCAGGTCTGGGTAATGTGGTTTGGTGTTCATACCTTCACTCAGGTGGAGCCCGAGAAGCTGAAGACACTAACTGAAGATCTAGAAGCCTTCAACCGAGCTAGGAAGAGAAATCGAAAGTAAGTCTCCTGACTGTACAGGTGAACACATGTTGCCCACCGTCAGATGTACACCGTGCATCTGAAACAAAGTTGTTAAACTTTTCTTTCTCATCAGTGATTACCCCTTTCGTGGTCTTCAACATACTGTTTTCTAACAAGTGTGGGAAAGGCATTCATGGTGAATTAATTAGTTTATGATGCAGGATGCCAATGCCCATATCTACATCTATGTGTACTTCTAATTGTGGAATGCTAATACTGATCCCCTCACTCTGAGTCGTCCACTCTTACAGTGTGCCTGTTGTAGTTTGTATTATCTTGTCCACACAGTGATGCTGGGTGAACTTTGTTCCAGAGAGTTTCCTTGGGAGTGCTTGATGACATTTATGTTATGTTGGTGTCGCAGGGCTGAGAAAGGGACATATAATTGTCATTCTTAATTTATTTTCTTTATAATATTCTATGAACTGTTTGATAGCTGGGAACTTAGTGTTAATTAAAATTAATACAGGAATATTGCAGATCGCCAACACATTTTGGCAACATGGACTTGTTAAGTTAACAGTGTAGCAGGTGTGACCACAATATTGCATGGTATTTGGATTTCCTGTCATTTCTGAAATAATTATTCCGTTTCAACTAGGAACCGTATGTAATGCAGCATACATTGTAGGCCATATTTTCCATAAAAATACTATGTTTGCAGTCTGGAGTGTGAAATTCATCTCACAAGAACCTAAAAGCTTATTTCAATAAGTGCATTAATTTCGTTTGTAGGAATAAACGTGGGTACTGTATGTGGTATTGGACAGTTATGGTTACGGACCGTGTGAGTGTCAGGTTTAAATTTCGTTTTTGTAAAGAAGCGCTACTTCCTCCAAATCCTGCAGGATTTTGTGACGTTTCCAGACAGTTAAAGAATGGGGAAGTTTTTGTTTTTCCCTTTCCTGTGAATTTACACACTGGCACTCAGTACTGAACCGCGGGGTGGGTGATCACCATGACCAGGAAGCCTCAGACTGCCTGTTCCTACTCCTGTGAAATCTGCCCTAGCCAGAGGTGTTATCCCACCTCCAGTACCTTATTTTAAAGAATAAAAAAGGCTTCCATTCATTGTTCCCAAAACTGTTGCAGAAAGCTGTGCAGAATATGTGCTTTCCTTACACTTCCCCATGTCAAGGGGAATGATGGGACAGTTTAGAGCATGCTTAACTAGATGTGGATGTGGATGTTTACACAGTAAAGTCTGTCAGATTTCCACTGGACCTGAAAATGGAAAGATTTGTCATTTGAAATTAAAAGAACAGTAGATCATATGTACAACAGCACATATACATTTTTCCAAATAAAATATAATTGTGCTTAGGCAGATAACCAAAGATAGCTTAATAGGCATAGAGCATATTCAGTTTTCTTTAGAAAGAAAAGTTGTTAGTGTCTATGTGGAAAGTTCTGTTTCATACATTGAGTTTGTTAATATTTGTTTTCTCTTAGAAGTGGAAAGTTGAATAATCATTTAGAAGCTGCTATTCATGAGGCTATGAGTGAGCTGGACAAAATGTCAGGCAGTGTGAGTATCAATTTTTATCTTTTTCCCATTTTTCTGATTTCTGGTGTAATTATTATTTAGACTTTGTGTATTCATGTGTTAAAAAGGCAGCTAAAAGACTCACATTTTAAGTGTGTTAACATTCTGAAATGAAAATGTATCATGCTTTCCTGTAGATGCCTCCCCTGGTAGACAGGTGAAGCCGTCTTCCTTTAGTCTGTTGTTGGTGCACTTGCTTCTTCTGCTCTGCTGCTGGCCCTCTGTGTCAGAGTCACATTGACACTGAGGAGCTAAACAGGACTTAATATTCGGAAATGAAGCAAACTCCTGTTTTCTGTCCTCGCCCACCGGCTGAGCTGCAGTGTGACAGGCGCGTTGATCAAAGACATTGCTCTGTGTCTGTTGGGAGGCTGATGTTGAAATATTACGTAAAAACCACAACAAACTCGCCCTCTGCTGCTGCTTCATGTGCACTGATTTCACTTTTAGAAGGTTTGTGTTTTGAAAATGTAATAGAATTTCAGGGACTAAAATATATATGGAGATTGTGAATAAAAAAGCAGTATATCAAAAGACTTGTGATTCTTTGGGTTACCTGACAGTAATTAATGCAAGCGCTGACCTAGCAGTCCTGAAATGATCAAAGAAGCCAATGCCACATGTTGGAGCCACATGTTGTACAATATAACTGCTTTAAATTGCAAGTAATGCAATGACTTAACAGTTTTCAAATTTGGTAATGCCAGTATGTGAAATGTGCTCAATCTACTTGCTAAACAGTTTACAGGTCATATTAGTTTTATAGGAGATACCCCCTGACACACTGAAGAATTTATGCATCTCAATAAAACACAATATTAAATCTGCACTACTAAATGCGAATCTGTACTGGACAATAAAACATATTTTACTTTCACAAGAACTTTTGTGCTTACAACAGCCAAATAATACACATGTACTCAATGTGATATTTATCACATGGCTCACAGTGATGATCTTATTTATGAAAGCTTCAGTGGTCCTTTTACTGTAGAAAAAGTTTTTCATGTGTGTGTACATAGATGCCATCCAAAAACCTGCTGAAACTGAAACCAGCCTGGATGTATTGAATAACAATGTCAAAACAGATTGTAATAGTGGATTATTCTGTTTTCTTGTTCAGATTGCTTAACAGCAGTGTATGTCCTAGGCTTTGTTCTGTGTTATTTCCAGTGGGAATGATAAATGTACAATGTTTTCTCAGCTGTCCTTATTTATAGTTATTAAAGTGTGATACCTCCTGCATCGGTTAAATCTTTGCTTGGTTTTTGTGGCATTGCTGTGACAATACTCTGTATTGTACTGAGTGTTTTTATACTCTGCTTCTGATTACATAGGTTCACCAGATGCCACCAAGAGAGAGACAGGTCAAACCACCGAAACCCAAGAGGAGGAAGATTTCTAGATAACATTGAATGTGTCCATCGCCAGTCCAGTACCTGTGAATGGAACTGTGTAGCTACAGAGTCTTAACTGTTAACAGCCCCAAGGTGCTACAGTCAAACCCTGGTACAGTATTTTTTGACACCAAGACAAGAGGGACAGTGAAGATGCTGGAATAACTATTCAGAAAACTGTATGGTCATGGTTACAATTTGTCTACAGCTTGCTGAAGAACTATTTTTTTCTAGAATACTAAAAAGAAAAAAATCCTGCATACAAGAAAATAGACAGTCCAAATATTTCTGATACATTTTCAATATGTATATAGATAATGCAGAATTTCATGGTGATATTCTGAGAAAAAATGTAAATAATGTACAATATCGTCATGTACAAGCGTACTTAATGCACACTTGATCTTTTATTGTACAAAACAAAAGAAGTGTACAAAATTCTTTGGTTTTTATTCAGTACACAGTCAAGATGACTACCAGTGTAAACAGGATAAATAAAAAGATATACAGCCTAAAGCTTTTATATGATTATGTTTAAAAAGCTGTTTTTGTATTAAACAGCAGAGGAAAAGGCATGATTATGTAATCCCTTGATTATGACAGACACTTGACACCTGTAAGTGTTTGTTAATGTCTGAATCGAATGAACTTTACCAGCTGAGTGTGCTTCTGGGCTTTCTCTGAGCAGGTCCTTATAAAACTCAGAGGAGCACAGCATAGAACCGAGTGACTTTTGTCACAGTATGATGATGGGTACGTGTTTTTACACCAGACAAGGAGTATGTGAAACTTTTTTGGTAGCTTCATTGAGAATAGCTGACATTCTGACAGATTGAGGTGTTAAAATGGATTCTTAATAATGTTTAAAACTCACATTGTAGGGTATGCGCTTAACAAGACGAAAGCCATGACATGAAAGGAGCCTGAGAGGTCCATTTTAAGTTATTGTTTTCAATTGTTGTTTTATTTTTTACTTCAAAATTAAATGTATTTATTTTCTTGAATATTTTTGATACAGCAAATTTTGACATTTACAGCAGGTGTGAAAGCGTCAGGTTTATCAGCTTTGGGAAAATATTAGGTGATGTTTTGATCCTTACAACTAAACTGACTTGCAGTTTCATTTCCGTGGCACTTGTGACTTTCACTCTGCACTCCGTTTTCATGTCATTTCTCAGATTTTGTTTCAGTGCTACCATCGATAGTGTTGATAGTCTTTTACTTTGCTGTATGTTTCCCTTGATATCTACCACTGGAGTTCAATATACACTGCAAAAAAAAGTTATACCTCCAAAGGAAAAGCATTAAGTATTTTAATGTTTATCAAATCTTAAGTATTAGATGCAATGTATTATTAATATTCAACAGCGACAAGTGTTTCTTATCCATGTGTGGAGTACAAGGATGACAATAACAAGACAGCTCTTTTTACTATAAGGTTGTAACTGATAGACTGTAACACTTATAAGCTTATATTTCAAAGGGATGCAAAATGCAGGTCAGTTTCTCTAACTTTTAAAACTAGCTCAGAAATACCCAAATAAGCAAGAAAGTATGTGTGATCTCAGCCTTATTTCAAATGAACAAATACTACAGTGGCCAAAGCTGTACTGGTTACTTTTAAATGTAGGGGCCTTAATTTTGTTGTTGTAAATTATTAAATGTATTCCATATTTATTTGTAGCTATATGATTATTATAGTTGGCAATAATACTAATAAGAGTTGTAAACTCTGAAAGGCCTTAGAGTTGGACTTTTTGCTTTAACCACAGGTGCAGCCTATATATGGAGTATTATTAATTTGTTAACAAATATACATGTATAATTTTCTTTAATTGTTGTGCTTCTTGTGGACTGTACGGTACCTGCATCCTTTTACGGCACTGCTGATTTACAAGTCTGGATGTACAGGCTGTTGTGAAGCAACAGATTTCTATAAAGAGACTAGTTCATTTTATAAAGTGCTGATATTTCTTTCCCTCTGAAGGCCCTGATTCATTATTACAGGACAGTACAGATTCCTGTTAGCAGACATGACTGGAATGATTGACAACCCAGAGTCTGCATGTTTATGGCAGAGCCGATACTGACTTTCTCAAGCATGTTAGAGAAAAAAACAAGAATGGATATCCTGTTAGGGCCTTCGTATACTCCAAAGGGAGAGCAGAGTCAGGCCTGGATGCTGCATTAAAGAAACACTAATTCTGAATAAAACTGGAAAGACTCTGTCAAAACAAGTGTCCTGCTTTTAAACAAGGGAAAGACAGTGTAGATCTGTGCAAGGCCTTTCCAGCTCCTGCCCATGGTAATGCAGGGTTCCTTTTCAACCTGTGAAAAGCAGTGATGAGGAAAGCTCGTGGGCAGAATTCTAACTTCATTTATACCTCTGAAATGATGCTCAGATTTGCTATATAGCATAATTAGAACGACCATCCTCAATACACTACACCCTTTTCAGTAATGGACACACTTGTGTTACAGTGACAAACAGTATGCTTTATATTTACGATATTTTTAGGAACTTCTATAATTCAAGACATTGTAATTGGATTATCGAAGACTCAGACGACAAATATAACATGAAAAAACAATTCCGCCATTGCAGTTCAGTGTCTTCAGAACCTGATCAGAGGCTACAGGAATGCGTTTCTCTATTTTCACTCAGGCTTCTTGTTCCTTTGTGGCCCCGAGGCAGGCACACGGATGTTTTCTTTTTTCAGCCATTCTAAAACCCACAGTTCCCCGTTTTGTATATTTTGTCACTTTTCCTGCGCTTGACAAAGAGATTAACAAGATTCGGATCTGTTCAGATGGATCAGTCAGTGCACAGCTGGGGTGCCTTTCACTAAGTCACTGCTTGGGTGTTCTGCCATATCAATATCCAGAGCTGATGCTCAGAAAACATGTGACCAAGGCCTAAAAGCAGATACTTCAGTTTTGTTGGTAAAGTTCATTCTGCCCTTTGTGCAATGACATGGTGACCAATCACAGTCTCATGTACAAGCCCCTTGGGAAATATCTGTGTAGATCAGTTTCACATCATTTTTTGTCACAAGTTGATATGTTTTTATGTTTATAATGGTTAATGTTGTCCATTGTTTTATACCAACCTGTTTTTCCTAAAGTGTTATGTCTGCTCCAATGTGTTTTATTCATTGCAGGTGAGTGTGTGTTTGTGTGCGTTTATATTTGGGTTTTTTCCTTTGCTTTTTCTGTCCTGAACCTTATTTGGTCAGATCAACCCTTTTGTTGTCGTCCATTTTTCAGCATGTAACTCATGTTTCTATTTTCTTACCAGTGTATACTTTACAATAGTAGGCTATGTAAAGTATTTTTGTGCACTTGATTTCGTTGGTTGCTGATAGCATTGGCGTGGGTGCTAGGATTAGTTAAGTTCATTTTTTTTTGTTTTATAGAGTTTTATGGTTTCATGTAAGCAACAGTTCAATGTAAATATTGTGAACATTACAGGTCATGCAGCGATGTAACATTTTAATAATGTTGCACCTACTTTACAATTAAAAACTGGTCACTCATACTTGAATTTTTTTCCTCTTGAGGCATTTTGCTTCTTGTCTCTCGTTATACATGTCAGCTGAATAAGAACTGTACATTACTCTGACTCTCCTCACTTTTGCATCCCTGGAATTCTACCCAGTTCAGTAGAACAGCCCTAAAAACTAAAGGTCAAAGCAAATGTTACATAAAGTTTCACAAAATGCCTTGCTGTGTTACCATACGTCTGAAGTGTTCCCGAAAAGAAATTCCATATTGCATTTAGTTGCAATAAAAATCCCAACATATTGAATATATTAAAATGTCTTCTCTGATTAGTAAAAATGAAAATTGCTAAGTCAGCAATCAAGACCTTGCCACCTTTTGGGGGGAAAGAGACTGTTTTCAGGTAAGTAGTTCCTGTGGGGTCAAAACAATTTCCTGCTGCTTGCTGGCTTATCCTTAAACCACCGCAGAAGATGCACACCCCCCCCGTGCACAGGTGGATTGGGGATTGCAGACACCAGTGGCCAGGAGTAATCTGCAGCACTCAACCCTGCTCCTGGGCCGCGTACGGAGAGCCAGCTGTCGTGCAGCACGGGCGCGTGATCCGGCCAAAACAAGTCGCAAGCATCCCAGCCCCAGTGCACCACTGGGGGCAGCGTCACCGCCCTGCAGCTCTGCCCTGAGAGACACTGGACTTTCACACGCGCTCACTGCAGCCCCTTGCTCTTGGCCGATCGTGCCGGCTGTGTGCCGCTCCAGCGAGCTGGTGGGTGTGTGCTCCGAGCTCCTCGCGGAAGGGATGGGAAAACGGGTAAGAATGTCTGCAGGTGTGGCACAAGCGTTTCAGAGGGAGCACCTTTGGTCACTACCTAAAACCGCTAGAACAATAAATGTCTTAAGGTGAAGGAAATGTCCATAAACTGAAGACTTGGAAAGCCTTAAATTGGTCACAATATATTTTTTTAATGTTTTTTTATATATAAACATTTCTAAAGTCTTCTCTGTAATAAACGTTTTACCACCAACTGTTCATTGGATGCAGTCCTTTGAAATGTGGGAGATGTTTTTTTTTTTTTTGATTGGCTGTTAAAATTGCACACTCCTGAGAAGAAGAGCCATTTAAATAGCAGTATCTCCTGGATATTACAAGATCAGATTACTTCCGCTTGCGTGAGCTGGAAGGTCACCTTTCGATCATCGGACCACTGAATGTTTATTTCACACCGTTCGTTCTCTGTGGAGAGACTGATGGAGGGCTCCTGCCTACGTGACTCACACCAAAAGTGCCTCAATGAATAAAACTGGGTCTCTTCTCCTGATGTTGAAATGTTGTATGGTTACACCTACTGGATACCAGTTAAAGCCTAAGTAAATTGTATGAAACATATCTCTGGACATACAGGGGAAGGAAATGGCTAAATAAGCTGACAAAGTTAGAAGTAAAATGCTGAAGCCTAGTGTATATATTATGAAAGACTAAGTAACAAATACATAAAGTAATATTTCTATTCTCTCATAACGCACACTGCGAAAATTCATACAATCCAAAGGCTTTCACATTTCTCTCAATGGGGATCAACACTGCTCCTGTTGTAGTCTTGCAGCAAAAGGCTGCTTCCAACTTTTCCCACTGATTCCACTTTCACGGGCTGGTATTTCTCTTCAGGTTAAGTACCTGAATGCAATCGCTCCATACCAGAGCCGTCACTGTGTCCTGCTGCCAGTCCAGAGAGCCTTCGTGACTCAGCCGGATTTATCATGACGGCTTTATGCACAGTAGCCTGATTGGCTGCCCTTCAGCAAAGCCATCTTGATTGAAGGGCCTGGGAGTGACAGGCAGGTGCTCTTGAGCCTGAGATACCATTGCAGCACTTACAGGAAAGGCAGCTCCCCTTTCCCGGAGAGCCGGAGAGAGCCTGTTAATTCCAGTGATGAAACGGAGGCTGGACTCCATTCTGCAGGCAATCAGTGTTTTTTTCCAGCGTGACCCACCTGTGCGGTTTGCAGTCCTGAGGAAATGAGCGCGGGCTCTTCCCGAGCCGCTCGCTGGCAGGAGAGCGGTCGGCTTGGCCGGCGTGGAGACTCCACAGCTACAGTATCCTGCTTCCGGGGGAGACGCGGTGTTTCCGTCATTCAACAGCGAAGCGTTGAGGCTTTCGGACTGAGAGGGATCTTGAGAGCAGGCCACAGCGAAGCTCACGTGGGGGGTGACTGAGAACCCGACTCCCTTCCCCGGGGTTAATGGGAAATGAAGGGAATGGTCAACCAAAGAGAACTGTACTTGCAGAGTTTGGGGCACATCTCAAGCCCCTGAAGGGGTGAAATGTTGAGTTTAAAAACAGCTTGTTGTGTACGAGGCGAACTGAGCTTGTGAATTGACGTAATTAAGAATTTTAATTACTTTTATCCCCATGTGTGTTACAACGTGCTGCCATTTTGCTACCAGGCTGTCACTCCTGAGAGCTCAGTAGCTCCAGATCAGGTCCAGACCAGAGCCATGGTGCCTCATCGGCCCAGAGCTCGTCCTGGGTTCTGAAGAGCACAAGCCCTTCTGTCTCAGGTGAGAGTGACCAGATGAAAGCAGATGTCTTTAATGAGTCTGTGAAATGAAATATTGGAAGGGAGTGCATTTGCAAATACTTCCATAATTACGTTCCGGTTTTCCAAGTGTCTTGCATTTTCATGTCGTGCAGTGAAAGTAGTTGTATAGTTGCAGAATTATTGCTTTTTTGGGATCATTTTCATTGCAACTGTCTTCTCACTGTGGTTAAAAATCCACCACTGGGGTGCAGTTTCACAGTGCAAAAGGAAGCTTTTCTGATTGGTTTAGAATATGTCTGTACAAAATGTATGTACAAAAACAACATTAACAAGAAATCCGAACAGTAATCTTTTTTATCTTGTGCATCACAGTAGGTGTTGAAGCCTGGATTATTCCTTTTCCAAAATGTATCCACAATTTTCACATCTGAGTAACCTGAACTGTAGTTCCTGTAAAGCTCCTGGACCAGTATCTGTATATATGTATACTGTATGTTTTTTTATTACATAACAAAATAGATGGTTCAACCCCGTGAGCAAAAAAACAAGATGTGGTCGTTTGGAATGATCCCAGTCTCTGGGATCTGTGGTGACCCCTGGCTCACCTGAGAGATGACACAGTAGCACTCGTCTGACTTGGGCGATATCAACAAAAAACACCCTGTACCGTTCTCGCCAGCTTTCCTGCGAACTGCAGGAATGATCTAATTGTGCAGTAGGGTCGCGCTGTATGAGAGGATTCCAAGAAACCAAAGTGAGATCTTAGTCCTCCTGTGACTAATGATTTCAATTGGCATGCCACGAGCCAAAGAGCTCAACAGATGAAAATCACAACTTCCACTGTAACAAATTGAGATGGACCTTGACTGGCAACATTGTCATGCAAGCCAATCTGCCTCTCTTCAGTTAACTGGTTTACTGTTGTACTGGTGCACAAAGTGCAGTGAAACTGTTTCGATTCTTCAACATCTCGTTAAGATCTGGTACAGTTTCTAAATCCCGGAGTTTTGAACAATGGAAAAAAGCTAACAGCAAAGAATCTCTTAAATGTAACTATTGCTGAATATCACGTTAAACGTGAAGAAATTGGAGATTATAACTTTGATTCTACACAGACAGTACCAAAAAAGCATTTTATTAAGCTTTCAAATGAATATACAGAATAAAAGCATAAATAACTAAATATGAGGTACTCTTACAGAAATACTTTTTTAGTAGGACAAAATTGAAATAGACCTTTCCACCCAGTGATGTTTAAGAACGATTATACCCTTTAAGGTGCTATTGGTTCAAAATGCTGTAATATAAACTAAAGATTTAAATATAATTCAAGACTAGACAAACACCTGGCAGACGATATTCAATGCAGACAGATAAAGTGTATTACATTGAGGTAGCAAAAACATTAGATGTTAAAATGGGAAATGTCTACTTATGGAAAAGTTTATATTATTGTAGACAAGCTATTTGCTGTCTTCTAGACGATGTGGGGAAGCAATTTAAAACACCAAATATATCGTCACAACAATTAAACTTGAAATTTAAATCAAGACAATTGTGCCATTGTGCAAAGGACTATTAGTACGAGTCGCTACAACCCGACGGGCCCGTGGTGCCGAACAGCCTCCTCTGGTCCGGAGCCTGTCTCGGGCTCTTGCAGCGGGTTCGGACTCGGGCCGAGTGCTGCTCTAGAGACTCCACAGCTCGGGAGGCTGAGAGACCAGCCCTTGTCCTCAGCTGCTCCACATGAACACCAGGGGAGCAGGACCTGCCAGGGCAGTACCGCCCGGGAGGAAACCTCGGGTTTTCACGGCGCCGAATCTCCGTGTGAACTACTTTAACACTCACGGGGAGTCACCTCGTCAGGCAAGGAGACCTGTCACACGAACTCCCTTTCAGACTTCATGATTTATGAATCATTCATTTTCTTTTCCTGAATAAAAAAAATCTTGAAATCAGAAATTGGCGTGTTTTTTTTTTTGCATATCTTTTTTTTTGCAAAAAGCTACTGGTCGTTTACACATTTACATCACGGACGTCTGAGTTTATTTCGGGTAGCAGTGCCTATGGGAGTAGATCGATTTAGGACAGCCAGTCGCAAGTGCCCAACAAGGCATCAACTTGATAAAATATCTTTGGGAGAGAAACCACCGGAAGTTGCAACCATGCGGGGCAACGGATCGGGACGGTGCTGTGTTGTGTCAGCCCACCTCAGGACTACAGGAGTCCTGTTGGGTCAGCTGGAAGCGGACTGGTCCTCGACGAGCGACGCGCTCCGAGCTCACAGCGCAAGCGGCGGGCTGCGCGCGCCCGGCCGTCGGAGCTCGTGCCGCCTGCCGCCGGGGCTGCGCGCGCAGCGCCCCGGCCCCCGCCGCCCGGGTGTCTCGCGCGGGCTGCCGGGATCGCTCTGCCGCTGTGTGGAAATGTCCGCCATGTTTTCCATGGCGCAGGGAGCGGATCGACCGAGGGAAAACCGCCTTTAAATCCGGGAAAACTCGACCGAAAACGGCTTCCCTCGCTGGATTCCGAGCAAAGGGGAACCCATGAGTCCGGCCGCGGCGGAAAGAACCGGGTCCCCAGTGGTTTTAGTCCGAGTTTTCGAGTGAACTGTGGCGGGATAAATGTTTCCTTCCAAATTGATGTTATTGTGATCGGCGACAACAATGAGTAAACTCTCGTTCCGAGCGCGAGCGCTAGACGCCGCCAAACCTCTCCCCATCTACCGCAACAGAGACCTGCCGGACCTCACCGACTGCGTCTCCATCAACCGGGCCGTGCCGCAGATGCCGACGGGGATGGAAAAGGAAGAGGAGTCGGTATGGCCGTATTTTAAAATTATATTTTGTTGTTATTATTTAGGGAGCGAAGCGGGGTGTTGGTATTCCTGGCAGGTTTACGCAAACGTCCATGCGTAGCAGTCTATGAGCGCCGCTGTGGTCTGCGTAGTCTACGCAAACATCGTTTCCGTATCTGGCGGTGATCGCCATGTTTACACTCGGTGCGCAAGTTACGCAGATGGCGTAGGGCAGCGGGTCTATTTCTGAGTAACGAGAGGGAAGTAATACGTAGCTTTCTTTGTGAGTCCCTAGGTATTTTGCTTTTGGGGAAATGCTTTCCCGGTTCAGTGTGTCTGTCTTTGTCCTTACGCAGCGCAGTTAGCGTAAGGAAATCAGTGAGCCAGTTTCATAAGTGAAGTTAGGTTTGCGTACGTTGCTTTGATAAACAAGGTTTGTGCGTATAGTGTTCCGCCATTGGTCCTGCGCTGCTCATGTTGGACCGACAGAGATTTGTGCATTATTACTTGCAGATGAACAAGCTCGTAGTTAACAATATGCAGTTCACATGCGGGAGCCAGCGTGCCTCTGTGATAACACTGCACAAGTTAGAGGTACTGGCAGTGCACACGTTTGCTCATGCATGCATGCATTCAATGTGAAAGACGTGATTGGTGTAAGTAGGCTTGTGTCAGATAATGGCTTATTAATTAATCCTCTCTGATCAGGATGGCTTGTGCATTGCAGCTGAGCTCGTAGCGTGCTTGCATTTTTTTTTAGTTGTTGCCGTTTCTCATTAATATTCTGAACTGTTACATTGGCGGGGCTGCGGGTACTCTTGCAAGATGCCCCAGCCGTAGTAGTAATCGCCGCCCGTGTTGTCAGCGCAAGAAATTTCTCAATGGAATTTGTCGTACCTGCAGGGGCCCCGCCCCCTCCGCGCCCTCATTGGCCAGGCGCGCCGGCGCGCTTTTCATTCTGTCAGAAGTCGAGCTGTGAAGCCCTCTGGGGTGAATGAGATTTACACGTCTTTTTTATCATTTTTGTGCCGAACACAAAGTTTCATTCTGTTATGCTTGCTTGCAGCGCGTATCGAGAAGAATCCGTTTTCGTTATACATCTTTAGGTTCCCCTAAGCTGTCTTGAAGTATAATGTTTTTTTGATCAACCTCTGTTTTCAGTATTATTGCAGCCCGGTCTGTTCTAACTACACGATCTGGTAGTACAGTGTGCATTGAGGATGCAGAATAAGCACTTGCTCACTGGTGTAGCGCTTTTATAGATTTTCCACCAATTTCTTTTTTAATGGTTCTGATACAAAAGAAATCAAAAGGTGATTTGGTCTAATCGTTTGAAAATCTTCATATCAGGCACTTCTAAAATATAAGTTGTGCTCGCCAACAAATACCTTTTTTTTAGTTTTGCGATGCCACTCAGCTGTAGCACCTGTGAATCACAAACCACATCACCAGATTTTGTGAATTAAGTTTGAATATGTTTCACTGTTTGATATTCAGATGCTTTGCAGCCCTTAATGAAACTTCTAAGGGGAGGAGCTGTGTGCTTTTGATCTCAAGCAAAGTGCATTTTTTTTCTTTTACTCATTGCAAAATAACCTAGATGTCACATCACATTCTGCTTTGTATTTTTTTACATTTTTCAGCACAGGGTGGTGTGCATCTGTAATCACACCTGCTGCAGCTCTCAGTAGTCACAGGCAGGAGGCCCTGTTAGTTAGCTCTGCTGATACCCCTGGCCAGTGATCAGCCTTTGCCATTTGAGGGCATCGAGATCAATAATGATCACTAGTATTCTAGCGAGCCTCTGCCATGTCTAGTGATTCAGGATTTTGTGGGATTGAAGATTAACTGGAACGTCTGACCAGATCCGTGACACAGATTGCCATTCGGGTGCCAGCCGGTCCTGATCTCCGAGCTCGGACCCAGCTGTGGCACTTGGCTCAGATGGGGGGTCTCTGAGAAGGAGGGCCCAAAATCAGTTAAAGTTTTATGCACGTAGTGATACTGTGCTCCAGAATCGTATTATCCGAATATGTTTTCATTTGCGATATGTTTTCTTGATAATATCAATCAATATTGATTAGGCAAAGCAAGCTAACTGTTGAGCTGAGGGACACGCAGCTCCCAGCTCCCGGGAGCAGAAAACATACTTCACATTCCTTAGAGTCGTCAGTTTTAGCTAAAATGCATCCCATATCACGAAGAGCATAAAGCTAAGAGTCGAAACTGAGTTTAGGGATGCCATCAAGTCGGCAATTTTGAAACATTTTTAAAATTGGGATGTTTTCACCTGTTGTGTTGAAGATATCGCGGTGGATGGTAACTGCCTCTGTGACGAGTGGTCGATGCAGATTTGTCTCTTACAGTACGTCTGGTTTCCTTTCCCTTCCAGGAACACCATTTACAGCGAGCCATTTCAGCACAGCAGGTCTTCAGGGAGAAGAAGGAATGCATGGTTATTCCGGTTCCCGAGGCCGAAAGTAACATCACCTACTACGACCGCCTTTACAAAGGAGAGTTCAAGATTCCCAAACAGCTTATCCACATTCAGCGTGAGTCTCTGTTCGATGCTGCGTGTTTAAATTCCAGCTGTTACTTCTTTCCCCACTTTAATGTGTTGCGCAGGTTTGTCAAGAATCAGTGGTAGGCCTGCCAGGAAACGCATTTCACTGCCAGTGCAGAGCGTAGCGAGTATGTCGCGCTGTTCTAGTTCCCAAAGAGAATGCGGGCAGCTACAACTTCAGAATTGTTTCTGCAAAAACTGCCTTAACTGTTAAAGGTTTTGCACACGTGTGTTTTTCTTTATTTAGGGTTCCGAAAGTTCCATTGGTAAACCTGAAATCTGTTAAATCCAACACTTTAAGTGATAATACTCTAAATGTGGTAAAAAGTCCCAATTATATCAATATAGCCATTTTAGAGATTGTATAATTTTTAAATTTAACATACACTTTCCGGATAGAGGAATGCATTGCTGCCTCCTTACAGTGTGCGCTGTGCGGAAACATTAACTTTCAGTCTTGTCTTCTCAGCTTTTAGCCTGGATAATGAGCAGCCGGATTACGACATGGATTCTGAAGATGAAACCTTGCTCAACAGGCTGAACAGAAAGATGGAAATTAAACCCATTCAGTTTGAAACAATGATCGATAGATTGGAAAATGCTAGTGCGAACCAGGTACCCATGTTGTGTGGCTTCATTATTACTTTAATTTATTGCGTTGAGTCTCGGTAATGTGTATGGGGGCCTCTTGGGGCCCGTGCTTGTTTTCTTGGCCTTCCGGACACTTGTGTGCATGCAAACGGAAAAGGTTTGATAAAAGGTAGTTTGTTTCTACCTGGTAAAACGCTGTTGTCAGAGCACAGATTGAGCTCTGTGATCACGGGTTCGAGTTCAGGTTAGGTCACTGTGACTGGGTTTCCCCAGGAGGCGGCGCACTGTTCGTTGAGCTGCACTGAGGGAGGGGTGGGATTAGTCAGCCAGGGCTCTCTCTGACACAGTGCCCCCTGTGGACTCCCGCTTGCAGGCTTGCGGTGTGGTCGGTGAGGGAGGTGCCTCTCCTCCAATCAGCACTGAGCCTCCTGCATGGGGGTGTGGTCGGTGTGACGTGCTGGAAGATGATTGGCTTGAAAGCCGGTTGTGTAGGAGGAATCTGTCTGCTGTTCCTCGTAACCCCTCCCACCCACAATCATGGGGAATGTAGATGGCAGCCAAATTGTGAAAAATTAAATCCTTCCAAATTACAGATTAGGTAGGCATACTAAAAGTAAATGGCAATTCTAAATTAATGAAAAAATAGTTAAAATTGGGATTTACACTGTGTGTAATCCGTCGCGTCGTCTTATGCGTGTTGCACAGCTAATTTGTTTTCTTACCCCCTTGTCAGGGAATGGCCTTTGAGTTTCTTGTTTTTGTGTTTCAAAGATCTGTGCAAGAAATTACCCATGTAGGAAGTTTTGCATGCACTCCTTTTACATTTTTAGGCAGAAACAAGGAAGTTTGAAGAATATATATATATCCAGTTGTCCCGTACTGCATATTTAAGAGTTTGTGTTTTATTTTGGAATGTACTTTTATTAGCGAAGTATATATTTTGAGGGGTTGGTCAGCGGCGGCCAAGTTTAATAGAGCATTTTCTTTTCTTTTTTTTTTAAAGCTCGTCACCCTTCAAGAAGCCAAAGTGCTGCTGAACGAAGATGATTGTCTTCTGAAGTCCGTGTATGACTACTGGGTGAGGAAGAGGAAGAACTGCAGGGGGCCCTCCCTCATCCCCCAGATCAAGCAGGAGAAGAGGGACGGCTCCACCAACAGTGACCCCTACGTGGCCTTTCGGAGGAGGACGGAGAAGATGCAGACTAGGAAGGTGAGCCCCGTTCCTCCTGCGCCTGGCATGTGACTGCCACAAGAGCTGGGGGACACAGCCTTGTGCAGCTATGTGGCTTTAAATTATTTTTGTGCTCCTAGAGCGGTACTCTTTGTAACCTTACCAGTACGATAGTGGGAACTGTGACCGGGAATTCAGTGACCAAGTCTGGTTGATGTGGTCTCTGAATCGGGGCACGCATTAGTTGCGCGCACTGCTAGTTGGTGCCTTTTCTTGCGGGCGGAATAATTGTGGGCTGGTTAACTCCCCTAGAGCAGCTCACAGGAATGTGATCATAAACTGTGCAACACAGATCTGTAGTTACATTTCTGCCTTTGCCCCAGCTCAAAGGTTTGTTTGCAGCCTGGAGCTTTGTGCTAATAAATATCATTCCTGTATGCGATTGTTTTTATGCTTATGTACGTTTCAGAAGAACGTTGTGAAATGCCCCGCGGGCTGTGTATGCCTTTTGGCTGTATTTCAGCTTTGGTTAGTGTCTTTTCCAGGCTTATTACACAAAGAAGCCTCACACACCTTCTGTTTTCTGTATTAGAACCGTAAAAATGATGAAGCCTCTTATGAGAAGATGTTGAAGCTGCGGAGGGAGTTCAGCAGGACGGTAACGATTCTAGAGATGATCAAGAGAAGAGAGAAATCTAAACGGGAGCTGCTGCATCTTACCTGGGAGGTGGTGGAGAAGAGGTATCCAGCCCTTACAAATCCACAGACTTGTGTTAAGCGTTATACTCTTACCTCTCTGAGAAATGTTTTCTTGTAAGATGATGTCATTGGTTATTTGATGTTTGTATGACTTAATTTATTTACACACACATTGTTGGTAGTCAGTTGCACAAAATGGGCTTGTGGCTTTTGAAAGTCAACAGTCTAGTTTTAATAATCTAGAACAGTATGCTTTTTTTGTTATAGTTTAAATATTTGCATTTTGTTGCTAGTGAATCAGTTGTTCAGTTGAATCAGTTGCAGAGGAGATACTGTTTTCAGTACGTCTGCAGCGTGTGTGAGGTGGAGTTAATGTAGTGAGTGGGTCAGTTATTATCCCTGGTGCAAACCTGAAAATTTTACTGGTGCAATGATTCAATAAAAACATTGTCCCCTATCACTCCCCCTCTTCTGCCATGACAGTTTGACATCTGAAAAATGGATATGTTGTTATAGAGTGGCTCAGGAGTTTTCTTTTTAACAGGTCATAAACTGGTGCTTTAATGCAGGGATTAAATAGGATTTTACATTTCCCTCTGTTCTTTGTGTAGATATCAGCTTGGTGACTTTGGAGGTGAAATTCTGAATGAAGTTAAGATTCCTCGAGCAGAGAAACCTGTATATAGCACTCCGGTGTCTCTACACAACGGGACTCATCACAAAACTTCAGAAAGTAAAATAAAGGTAAACAGTGTTTGGCTCATAAAAATGTAGCATTTAGGTTTAGGACTGAGAAGGTCCACAAGTGTAGGTTTATTCAATTTCTTGTTCTTAATAAAAATAATAAAACACATTATCTGGCTTTTTATACTAATGTCATATTGAAAATTTCCCATTCAACAGCATTCCCACCATGTCTCAATCAAAGATGAATCTCATTTTGATTTCCTTCGACCAAAGAAGAAATACTCCCAGAAACTGAAATTGGATTTGTTGCACCAGCAGTCCCATTCTGAGCACCAGCCTGCCGTTAATAAGTGTGACATTAAGCAGTATGACTTCCACAGCTCAGGAGATGAGGAGTATCTGCAGGTAAGGGAGTCTGACACTAACTTGGGATAGAGCTTAAACCGGGTTTTTTTTTTGCAGAATTAGTTGCTGAAATGCTTCTGTTAAAGAGCGAAAAAATAGGAGGCTTTTAAGTCCATCTACTCCATTTGGTAGGTAGTAGTTAATAGATCAGTGGGTCTGATCCAGCTGTTTCTTGAAAACAAAAAAACAGCTTATTTTCTTCAACAAGGGTAGAAAAGGGTTTATGAACACTAGACAAAGCATCTCCACAACGGTTTAAAGTCATTTATATTTGATGCTTATTTTTAATTAAGTTGACGTCTTTAGACACATCAGTTTGCACTCAATTGTCAAATATTAATTTTGCAAAAATAACAATGTAGGAAACTAGAAACCAATTAATACAATCGCATAATACAGAACAAAATAGAAAATCAAACTGCAGGCTTATAATATTGCTGTCTGCAGGAGTTGAATAGAGCATTGTAATGCCAGACCACTGTCAGTGGCACCGATATAAAGATGAGTCCTAGGGAGGCACTGTCACACTGTGTAAAACTGAATGTTAGAGGCTGCTAGATGTGAGTGGCTATAGAAAGTCGCCACCCCCTTCCAAGATGTGTACCTTTTGTTGTATGACACTGAAAATAAAAACAAATTAAGTTAGGCTTGTTCCATTTTTATTGACACACATTAGCCTGGTGAAAATAATATTCTAAAACATTCTGAAAATTAATTAATATTGCAAAAGTAAAATGCCTTATTCGGATAAGTGAACACCGACGGATATGAGTTTCCGACGTCCTTTTCCCCTCAGGTACCGTCTCCTACGTCGGAACCGGATGAGGAGAGCGATCCGGATGGGCCTTTTGCTTTCCGAAGAAAGGCTGGGTGTCAGTACCATGCTGTAAGTACTAGAGCCGCAGACGGGGGCTGTATCTCTCCTCTAGGAAGTGGGGGTTCCTCCTTGAGGTGGGGTGCACGGAGACGCACGCCGTGCTGCGCGCTCTTCTCCTCGGGGCTCCTGTGCGGGCTGTGCCGGCTGTCCTGGCGCTGACCTTGCCCCGCCGAGCCCTCCAGAACGTCCGGCGCGCCCTGCCGCCGTGCCGCGTGTCTTACACTTGTCCCTCGCCCGCAGCCGCGCGTGGACCAGGCCGGCGGAGTCCTCTGGGAGCAGCCGGAGCTGGCGGGGCTGCGGCACCGGCACTGCCTGACCGCCCTCACGGTCCCCCGGAGGTGCATCGGCTTCGCCCGGCGGCGCGTCGGGAGAGGGGGCAGGTATGGAGGAGGAAGGCGTTCGTCTCGTTCCGGCGTCCTGTCTGTCCCCCGCCATCCCCCCCGTGTACAGGCTGAGGGCGAGGGCGCCTGGTGGAGTCGCCCTCCCTGAGCTCTTTCACATCCCGACTCCACACCTCCTTCTTCAGGAGGGCTTTTCTCCTACTGCTTCTGTCGGCCCCTTTGCTCTCCTGCTGTGTCCCGAACCCTTACTGTGATCGTGTCACGCCGCTGTCTCCTCTCATTGCGTGCCTTTTCTTCTTACCGTGCAGCGCTTTGAGAAGCCACTTTTTATCACATCAATTTTAGTGTTGTTGAGCGACATGGTTGGTGCAGAACAAGTCACTATACTCGGGAAAACAAGTCCACCCCTACTAAATGACATGTCGTGCTCACCTGCATGCTTAGTTCGTCTTAAAAAAAAATGCAGTGAAGTTCTGCCACATGCTTCTCATTTACTAATGGGCTGTTTCCCCCCTCCCCTCCTCTCAAAGGGTTATAATGGACCGAGCATCTTCGGAGCACGACCACGTTTTAAAGCAGTTGGACCCAGAAGTGTTGGCCTCTACCCCCAGCAGCATGGTCTCAGACTATTCAGACACTTCCACATGGACCAATGCTTCCAGAGCACATTCTGGGAATGTGAACTCGCTTACGGAAATTTTGAGCAATATTAAAATGTGCAGGTGGCGGTATTTTCGACCGCAGCCTACACAGGCTAAGAACAATGGCGATAATGGCAGCACGTTTAAGAAACTGGGACAGACTGTGAACAATAAGAGGATAACTGGAGCTTCTGTTGCGTTGTTAAGCCCTAACAAGAATGGAATTACAGGTGAGTACGAAAAACTTTTGTTGAAGTTTTATTTCCGTTTGGAGGTGGAAAGATATTTTCTTGAACCTGTCAGAAGTGTTTCAGAGGGCTCTGTGGATTTGTTTTTGTATTCCACCTTAAACGTGTTCATCTGTTACACAGCTCCTTGCATTGTATTAGCCATCCTGAAATTGTATGAGAAGATAAATATTTAAACCACAGGAGGCTCCTGGGTCCGTGAACAGCACTGTAGAATTCTGTTTCAACATTTACACTTTTACTGTTGCTCCTGTACCAAAGGCCTCTTCGGTAGAAATACTTTTATTTTAATTAATGAACTTAAATATAGTAGCTGCATGAGTAAGCGTAAAGAATGTTAGCACCAGTCTTCCTTTTGCCTAAAGTTGCTGTTGTGTGGTGTACAATCCAGTACCGTATAGTAAAATTAAACATGCTAATTAAATTATATGAATAGTATTGTAGAGCTGAGACTGGTTCATGCCTATCACCAGTGTCGAGGGTGATGGATTTCATGCTGCAGTCTGCATAGCGTTGGTGCCTTTTGCTCTTCCTTCCAAC